GCTGGGAGAAGGTGGCTGGAGCCAAGGGGTGAAAGTCCAAAGAAGTTGAAGAGCAGGTACAGTGGGAAGAAATGGGTAGAAAACTTAGAAGGAGCGGAAGTGATTGCATCTGAGAATGGGATGATGAAGTCTAATAGGGTGGAGAACCCGGTGTCATGACAAGACCGAGAGTTCAGCCATGGAAAGGGTGGCTGAAGTTAAGGAGAGGCTAAGGGCATTAAGGCAGAGAATATTAAGATAAGGTTAAGTTTGGAGGGATTCTCCATAGGATTCTCATCGAAAAAAATTGCTAATGCTCAATAAGGAACTCATAATTCCTTATTTTACTTTGTAGTTTCGCTTATGAAATGCGAGATGAAAATGCCCACAAAATTAGGCACATACTTTATCTAGGCTTAACTATAGAATATTGGGAGAATAAACAGTGGAGTATCCTTCTGAAATAATTGCTTTTCAGAAATTGAGTGTTCAGATGTAATTGGTAGTATCTTATTCATAAATCTGGGTTGCTTTCAAAACTTTTGTATTCTATCATTTTTTATTCCTTCTTGCTTATGTAGACAAGTCTAGTCCTCAAGACATCTAGGCAAAAGAACTCTTATTTTTCCAATACGGATTTGTGTGTTGTCCTAATTTTCCACAGAAAATTATTACTGTTGTACCAACTCAGCTTAATTGGTCCTATTTTGTTTGAAACCCATGCAGTTTCCATAATAGAATACAGGAATTTAGGCTGCTTTCTTTTTCATGCCAAATATTATCTGTATGTGTAGCAGTTCCAGTCACTTATCATTTCAACATATTATAAAGTGAAAGGAAAAGCCATGGTTATTTGTATGAAACTTTTCCATGGAGAGAAAATCTAAAATTTCTTTTGATTTTAGTGTAGTACTGTGTCTCTCATGCTTGAGACCTGGAGTTGGAAGCCTTTCCGTTCACTCTGATTATGAAAGTCTATCATTATTAGTATGAGAACTTTTTAATATCTGTTGAACTCTTCTGTAAACTTTACTATGGAAAATATTAAAAATATCTGGAATCAAGCAACGTGTTACTCTTTTATATGTGGAATTCCAAGTCCATATTACTTGTTGTATTTATATATAAATGAAACCATCAGTAAGGGTTTTGGACTCTCTTTAAAGGGAAAAATATTGTCTTGAATTTTTGATGTTAATAGAGTTTGGCATCTGGCCCAGGGATTATAACGTCACTTTGTTTCAAGCCATATTGAAAGAACAGTTTGTTAGAAATGTGGTTGATATCCACAGCCAACTTTATGAAAATTGATTAGTGTTTGCTTGATGGCCAGACCATTTCCCCTCAGAAACTAGAACTAAGAAGTCAAATATTAAACTGTTTGTCATATATAAACTATCCCTTAATAAAATTCTATATTCAATTGAGTTACACCTTATCATACCACAGACATGCCTGATCATGAAACGCCTGGAGCTGTCACTAAAAATAGAGATTCTCCGGCTCCTTCCATAAGGAATGCTTGAGATGGGCAATGAGTAAATCTGTCTTTTTAACAAATTTGTCAGATGGATCTTTCTCATCAGGCAAATTTTAGAAAAGCTTAGCTGGATAATTCTTGACATGTACCTAGAAGCACTTGGACTAGTATACCGCTAATTATCTTCATGAGAAGGGATTGTGCCGTTCTATGCCTTGTCTTCATTTCCAGAAGGAGCCTTCACTGCAGTAGGGCAGCTGTGCAGAAAGGGCTGACGTTATCAGACAGTTTTCTCTAAGGAAAAAGGGTCTGATTTTTATTTCATCTGGCCCATGAATATAGAGGCTATATTTTGTGAATGCAGAGTCTGATTTATTAACTCTTTATGGATAGAAATACTCATTTAAATGTTAACTTCTTTTGTATTTGTAACACATCACCTTTGGAAATAGAAAATTATGTGAAGAGGGATATATACCAGAAGGTGGTCAGCCAGTTAATTTTATCAGTGCAAAAAACCCATCTATTAAAGGCACTGGGTAAAGCTCTTTGCATATGTACTTACTGTTCAAGAAGCTTTTGAATGAATGAATGGTTGAAAAGAACTACCTATGAGGTAGATATTGTGATCCTTATCTTACGGTTGAAAGAATCAAGGCTGACGGAAGCCAGGGGACGAGCCCAAGATTACGGAGTTGGTGGAAAGCCAGAACTGGACTCCATGTATTTCCAATTCCAACTCTATATGTGGCAGCCAAATCTTTGAAAAATGGAAATGACGCACCATCATCTGTCATGGTGTGTGTGTGTGCACACGCACATACCCAGTGCATTTATGTCATTCTCTGATGTCTTTTTCCATCTTTTTGTGTCTGCTTCTTGATTCATCCAGCACTCCTCAAGTGTCAAAATCAAGAAGTCTATTTTTATTAGTAAAGGGTTTCATGTCTACTATTTGTTTGTAATTGATAATGCAGATAATAGACTTCCTTTTCTTTTAAAAGTCGTATTAAGTCATTTTTTGTTTAACTATGAATTATGACCCTAGGCAGTAAAATTATATCTTACACTCTTAAGTACTCATCGGAGCTAATTATTCAAATAAAAATAAATGTTATTATTTATTATTATAAATATTATTATAAAAATAATAAAACTTGTGGTGTGTTAAGATGACCACAGTATGGGGAGGCAAGAGGCAAGCAATGGACAGATATCAGTCAGCAGATAGTAATTTAGTACTTATTGGTTGCCTGAAACTGCCAAGTACTATGGAGCCATGTGGTCTCTCCTGGCCCTTGCCAAGTTGTGCTGGAAGGGGAAGACCTCTTCACTCCTTGGTGGTGTGGATGTGAGTGTGGCTAGTAAAGAGAAAACCAGGCCAAGGGAAGGAGTCGCTTCTGCTGCTGTTGGCTCACGTCAGGCGAACTCTGCCCTCATGGTCTTTGGATGGGTCTGAAAGAAAGAAGAGAAGCCTCTTGATAGTCTGTCTGGCAATGTTGTGAAAAGTGGTCCGAGGATGACACCACGTCTGAATTTGGCTGGCAGGTGCACGGGAACTCATACCCCTGGGTCTCTGGAGCTCTGTTGACTCTCTCCATGCTGTGCAGAAGCTGTTGGGTAGTTTGTACAAGGAGTTGGTGCTTCAGGTGAGAATGAAGGTGCTGAACGGCTGGGACACAGGGTTACTCCTTGGGGTCACAGAAGATGATGTTGCTTCTAGCATCTTCCTTCTAGAACAGAGAGCTCTTTTGCTCTTCTGGAGCAGGCGTCTATACCAACTGTCACATAATAAACTGGAGATTGGAAGTGTCTGTCTCAGCCTTTAAGACCAGTAGTTTCTCCTCCACTCTCTTCTTTCTCTGTGTTAATGTTCTGAGTGTTTTTTTCTTTTCCTTTTCAGTTTGGCACCAGTTGTCTCCTATTCAGTCTTTTTTGCTGTGGTTGTTACTTCCTTGGATGAAATGCCACACACATTTGACCCTCCTTCGCCTCTCCCCAAACCCCTCCCCTGTCTGGGCTAGAGACTGAATGATGTGTTTTTCTCATTCTTGTGCACTCATCATAGCCGGCCATTTGTGGGCCAGCTGTTGTGTGGGACAGCAGCTGCAGGGCGTGGGAGCTGAATGCCAGGCTCTTTCTAAGGGGAGAATTTGAGCTGCTCCCTGACGTGGCACTGGAGGTACCCTTAGAAGGTCCCACTGGCCCTCACATCAACGGGGCATGCAGCTAGGACACCAGTAACAGGAAACTAGTCCAAGCTCTGCCAGCTCTGTGTGGAGAGGTTGGAGTTTAACCGGTGTTAGAAGAGAGCCAGGCACAGCGTGGATCCTTATGCCCTGAGTGCAAGCCGTGAACAGTGTAGTAAACCTGCAGGGGTCCCTGTGCTTGGCTTTCCAGGTGTCCTGTTGTTATGACTGTTGAAGAGTGTAAGCTCAGGTTCTGTGGTCCCAATTCCCAGTAGGTTCTTATTTTCTACATAGCAATAAGCATTTTAATTGTTAGCTTTACATATCTGAATAAAATTCTGTTTAACCACAGATGTTATAATACATTTATTTTGGGATGCTTTTAGAATAAATGAAACTTAGTTATTGTAAAGCCAATTATTTGAATCAGTTTATTGTATCTCAAAAACTGTATTTGTTCTTCTGTTAGTAGAGATAAAGTAAGGTGAACTTTAATAATGATTTGAAGATACTGTGGAAGAAGTATAAAAATAGATAAATATATATATATACACACACACATTCTTTTTGGCTGGTTCTTTTGCTTGTAGCTTTGAAAGACAAATATTTAATGTTCTTAGGTGGGTTGAACCTAGTCGTTGAAATTTGGTCTTTTTTGCTTTAAGGTATGATAGTGGTTTCCTAGAATCTTTTTACGTTAACTTTCTCAAAGGGTAGAAATAAAGGGAAAGTGAAAAGGAGCTCCTGATGACTGTGCGTTCCAACTTGGAGTGAAGTTTCTAAAGGATGTTACACGAAGACCAGGAAGGAAGTAACCGACTCCAGGCTGGCAGGACTTCTCCACAGCGTTATAGGGAAAAGAAAGGTTAAGGAGGAGGAGTCGACTTTAGGAGTGGAGATAATTGTGTTTGATTGGGTGTCCATGCTTTTAACCAATAGTTTCCAGTGTACATTTTATCCTTCATGAGTAAGACCCAGTGCTTCTCCTTGACTGAGCTTTCATTTCCGTGTCCACAGGCGCTGTTTGCTGGCAATTCTATAGAATAAAGACTCTCTGTAGATAGATTGTGTACCATTTGGATACATGTTTGACTTCAGATCCAAGAAAAGAGGCCCAAGAGAACCCCTGAAAAGTGTTCTAATATTTTTATACTTTATTTTAACACACGTACATTCAGAAACATGTCAATACTTAGCTCAGTGTAATGCTAGTAGGTAAAAGCTACTTCGAATATAGGACTTTATTAAAATATGTTTACACTTAAATAGGTATGTGAACTGTACATTCTTCCATTTTGGATCCTGGAATATTTCTCATGGGTTAATTAACCTTTTATTTCCTTCCCCTACAGAACTGGCTAGATCCCGCAAAAGAAATAAAGAGACAACTGCGAAGTGAGTATTTAAATAATCATATTTTGAAGTTATTAAGTTCATCTTTGTGTCTATTTCTATCTTTAATAAAATTCATAGGAATATAGACTAGAATAATGTGATAGAATGATCAGCTCTACTCTGCTTTTTTTTTTTTTTTATAAAGATTGGCTCCTGAGCTAACAACTGTTGCCAATCTTCTTCTTTTTATTTCTTTCTGCTTTTTCTCCCCAAATACCCCCAGCATATAGTTGTATATTTTAGTTGTGGGTCCTTCTACTTGTAGTACGTGGGACACCGCCTCAACATGGCCTGATGAGCGGTGCCCTGTCCGGGCCCAGGATCCGAACCAGAGAAACCCTGGGCCGCCATAGCGGAGCGTGCGAACTTAACCACTTGGCCATGGGGCCGGCCCCTGCAATTCTTTAAAGATTTAATTTTTTCCTTTTTTTCTCCCCAAAGCCCCCCAGTACATAGTTGTATCTTTTAGTCGTGGGTCCTTTCTAGGTGTGGCATGTGGGACACTGCCTCAGCGTGGCCTGATGAGCAGTGCCATGTCCGTGCCTAGGATCCAAAGTGGCAAAATCCTAGGCCGCTGAAGCGGAGCATGTGAACTTAACCACTTGGCCACGGAGCCAGCCCCTGCATTTCTATCATATAGGAAGTTCAGGATTCTCACAGTATTTTCGTAGAATCATGACTTTATTTTGTACATGGCTTAGGGACTCCTCTGCTTGTCAAGAGTTCTAGATTCATAGTCCTAAATATTCCCTCACAGTGTCGACCACTGTGAAGGAATCTCTGACCTTTCTATCAGGGGAAAAGAATAAGAAGCTGCTTTTCTGTAGCTTTCACTTTTTATGTAAATTTCAGTCTAAGTAGACCTGTTCCTGCTGCCCTGTCTCCTTCACTTTGGGAGTGTAGAATTGGCTTAATTCCTAAGCCTGCCTCTGGCCCCGAGGCACGTGGGTATGCTGTGTGTAGACATGCTGGGGTGAGGACTGGAGAGAAAAAGCACGCAGAGCCCTCTTTCCAGTCCTCCGCAGTTTGAATACTTCTGCACTCGTTTGTTCCACAGCCCAAGCCCACCTGATGTGCTCGTTAGCCCTGGGGTTGTAGTTAGTCCTGCTTGGCCCTGTCCCCCATTTGGTTTCACTGTAGACTCCCAAAGGGACTCCGTGTCCTGCTCTGACCAGCTTCAGTTCCCTCCGTAGGTTCTCTCTCTGCAGGCTGCCTTGTCTGTGGCTGGCTTTGTGATATCTGTGTCAAGAAACATTGTCACCCCAGAAAGATCTCTGATAGGGGATCTGGACACTTAATTTCCTTTAGGGTCTGTGAATGACTGAAGCAGAAAAGCTAGGGAGCCACAAACAGCAGGAACTTTTAGGACAGGAGAACAGAATCCTAACCAACCCTTCTGGACCGTGGGCCCCAGAGCCGTCCAGGGAGGAAGCATTCCCTGAGCCAGCCTGCAGGCCGCGCTTGGCACAGTGGGCTTCATTTCCCTGCTTCCTTGTTCCTCCTAATGTCAGGACGCTGGAACAGATCTATACTCTCCCTCTCTTCCTTTCCATCTGCCTTCTGTCTCTCACTATAGGTTTTCCACAATGGTTTTCTTCATTTCTTTTTCTCTCTTGAATTATAATCTTTTTGGTAGTCTTCCTATCATTTCTTTCCTACTACTCTCCTTTTTTATTCGGAGCATATGCCTTATCTTTCCCGTGTCCTTTCCTTCTAGACTCATCTTTCTTGTCCTTTTTTTATATCTTTGATTAAAGTGACCTTCCTGATTTGCCAGGACTGAGGGGTTTCTCAGGATGTGGGACTTCTAGTGCTGAAACAGGACATCCCGGGCAGACTGGGGTGGTTGGTGACCCTGCCTTTTGACTGTTATCCCTGGCTTTCCAGCATTCCATCCCCCTCCTCTTACCTCCTGCATTTCCTGCCTTGGTGTTTCATCTGTTTATGTTTGCGTCATGATGGCAAAGGGGAAAGAAAAGAAAAGGAGTGATTGGACACAGGTACATTATGCTTACACTGCAGAGGAAACTGTACCTGAGAGCTTTGGAACTTTCCTTTGTCGCTTCTGCAGTCATTTCATGCTCTGCAAAGTGCGTACATACAAAAAGGCACAGATGTGTGTTCTTTCACTTTTCTGAAACCAGACCAGCCAAATGACCCACTCCAGAGAGAGAACAGGATAACCCGTGCAACATGATGGATGTTCCATTGAGTTGTTTCCTGTGGTTTTGTTTGGCTTTTGTTTGATTAGTTCTGTGTGCTGCTCATGTCAGAGCCGAGATTTCCTCATTTCTGGAAGGCAAGACTTTTGCTGATTATGAATCACAGCCTTCTGCTTTGATTATTTGTGAAGTTTTTAGAGTTATTTCAGGACTTTTGCCCTTGTGGTTTGGCAAGAGGAATAACAGTAACAAGTAGGATTTGACTTTTTCAAAACTATTGGAGGTGGTTCTCTAAGTGGGATCCTGTCCTCGTCGTGAAAGTCGGCTGAGGAAATGGAGCTTCAGTTGTTGTCTTTACCTCTTTCCGTCTGCGTCTGTTGAAATGGACAAGAGAACTGCTTGTTCTGTGTCAGCCCAGCCTCTCCTATGATTTTATTGTTTCTTTTCAGTTAATAGGCAATTAGCAAAGGTAAATATTAACCTTTTTTCAGTTACTTTGGAAAACCGACAACCTATTGGTTCCTATTTAAAATTTGCCTTAAAATCTTTTTCTCAAATGTCCACCAATAAGACTATATCTAAGGCTTGCATGTGATTAATATATAAACAATCCATAGCCAGATGGACTATTTATATATAGCTAGGCAAAAATTATGATAATATAATTCAAAGTTCCGTGTTATTGCTGCTAAAATATGTGTTCTGTTAGTAGTCATATCCAGGTAAGCATGTGTTCATGTTAATACCTAAAAACCAAAAAATCAGGATCCACTAGGAAATGATAATCCTGTGATGAGTTTGCATAATGGTGCGTTAGCAGTTACCTTGAAGAAGTGTGTATTCACACCCAGTGTGGCGCTGCAGGCCAAGAAACCTCGTGTCTCCCCATCTTCAGGAAAGTCCTGTATCCCATTATGATATTTTAAATGTGTGACGCAGAACTGAAATCTGTTCCTTAAATTCAGCAGGATTGACTTTATTAGAATAGTGATGTATTGAGCCAAAATCCAGCAAAAGTGCTTATGTGTTCCCAGTAGCCATTCAGAAAGTATTCGCTGACTCTTGAGTGAGAGAAAAGTTAATGTGCTGATGGTGGGAAAAGGGCAAAATGACTCGTTGAACAGGAGAATGGGATTCAGTACAATTTTCTTCAAGTCTGTAAATTAAAGCGATTGTGAGGCTTTCAAATATGCATAGAGTGAAGTAACACACACACACTTTTTTGTGTATATTAGAAACACTATGAACTTTTAGAGCAGCTCTAAATCCAGGCCAGTGGAATTACTTGGTCCCTTTAGAAAAATAATACCTGCCCTCTTCCCAGAGTTGTGTGTTTTTATGTTTGTTCGTTTTTAACGCCATCCAAAGCATGATATCTCAAACTTGAGTTAAGTGTTAATGTGTAAGTAGCAATATTTTAACTTTTAATACGTCATTTATGACATGGTTGTTTGATACGTTCGTTGTTTGTGGCACAGTAGAGCAAACTGTATGTTATGTATGAATATGCTTACACCCCTTTATAAAACCTGGGAAGTAATTTTATTGTCCTAAATCCTGTGACGTTTTACCAGTCTTTACCTTCTTTGGAGTGTCTTTGAACGCGTCCTTCGAATAGCCCACTAATCATTTCCTGGATGGCGCTAGGATCACTTGCTCATTAGCCCTCCTTCCCCCAACAATGTAGAAATCCTAAAATGCTTTTCTTTTTGTTAAAAAAGAGTTGAGAATATACGATCGAGAGATTCAGTGGTTAAAACAAATCTTACCTCAGAACTATTACATGGAAGTTATATTAAAATTTTTGCATAATCACCATATAAAAGGTTTGTGAAGTAGCAGGAAATGTTTATGAAAAAGTGAACCTATTATTCTTTAGTGATGGGTTATTTATGTAATTGATTTTTATTTTGTTTTTCATTTGATTTTTGTTTGGTAAATGATATTTTCTTTTAAATTAAAAAATGAAATTCTCTAAACTGGTTTCCAGTGGGACTAGTCCTTACTGTTTGAACATTTACCTTTAAGTTTTATCAAATTAAATGGGCATTCTGTTGGTTGGATAAGTAACCATGATATTTAATAATTACAGATCTTCCCTGGCTGTTCACCTTTAATGTGAAGTTTTATCCTCCTGATCCTTCTCAATTGACTGAAGATATCACCAGGTACTTTATATTTACATTAAAAATGAAGCTTTACTTATAGCTCTCATTTATTTCTGTGCCCTGGGAGAACAGTGGGTAATTTCACGATTAAAACCAAAACGTTTTTTCTTAAGTTGAGTTTTAGAAGTTTCCTTGGAAGTTGGGTACTCCAAACTAGTTTGAAATGTTGCCAGTTTCAAAAATTGTTTTCACTGTTGTTTGATTTCTTCATTTATATTTGAGTAATGAAATATTTTTAAAAATATTGCTGACTACTTTGTTTCCAAGTACTTTCAAAAATCACTGATCTTTAAAATTTCACATTTTAGTGCTAAGATGGTTTTTATTATACAACCCAGGCACACATGGGTCTTATATTACAAAGGTGATATAAGGGTAGAAAAATGAAATTATTTTTAGAAGTCAATTGAACTGTAATTTTTTTGTTGCCCCCCCCCCACCCCACGCCTCCCCCAGGCGGGTGGAAGATACCTGATAAGGTAGGCTTTCTTATGCAAGAGTCAATAGCTTTTCGTTTCCATGTCCTCTGAGATTATCTAGGCTATATGAACATACACTTAAATTGCAAATACAAGTTTCCCTTTAGGAGCAAGAGAGCATTTACTGATTCTGAGAGTGACTGCGTATTTGAATGGGAACCAAGGAACATTCTGTATCCACAGTGCCTTGATAGCTTAGCCCTGTTAAGTGGGGTACCAGTGACAGAGCTTCGTAGCTTTGGTAAGAGTAGGTCTATAGGGTGATTTGTGTACATCTTTAGAAGGTTATGTACATGGCATGGCCAAGGAAAACTGCGTTCCGTATGTATACTTGTAGAAAGCTGGAGCGTCTTAGTGAAAGACGCTGCTTTTGACTCCCATGGCTCCTGTGCCTTGATGCTTTCTGCTAGGCCAGTCTTGTTGTCAGACATCAAGTTGCAAAGGTGCAGAATGTATAACGCCTGTGAAAGAGGAATGATGGAGATTTCTTTCCAAGATTGGATAAATCACAGGCCTGTTTTTCCCCTTCACTACTTGTTGCTGAGCAGGGATGTACTGATGCTAATCAACGTGTGATTGAATTAGCTTCAGCTAGTCAATAATAAACAGTAGCTTTTGTAACTGCACAGTGAGCTGCTTGGAGCATAACACTTGACAGGTCGGCGTGCATGTGACACAGAGCCACCCTGCAGGAGTGTGTGGGAACAGTGCAGGTAATGGGGCGGTGTGACCCTGCGCCCTCTGCACGTCCACGCTCCTTGCAGTAATTGGTTTGGGGGATGATAATCCTTGGTGATCACAACTTACAGCATCAGAAAGTGCTTTGGTTTTCCTTGTACCCGGGGCTGGAGCAGTCTCCCTGTGTGTGGTGGGAGGAGTGATGTAGTCTAGTGAACTGACTAAAAGCCTTGGTGGAGCGGCCTGAGACCTGCCGCCAGCCCGCGCGTGGAGCTGGGGGACCTGAATGTCACCAGTGAAATCTTCACGACGACCCGAGTGAACATTGAAGGTGGGGCAGGCTTTTGAGGAGAGCAAGGATGCTGGTCAGAATAATGTTTGGAGAAAGCTCTGTCCTGCTGGGTGAGGAGATGGAGCTGGGAGATCCTGGAAGCTGCTGGGACTTTCTGTTTGAAGTTTTTTTAATCATAGACTTAAGCTTTGAAAACAGAGGAAAGGACCCATGTGAAAGGTAGAGACAATAGTATAGACAGGAGCAACAAGATTTTAGTAATAAGAGAAATCTTTGTGTTGAGGACTTAAAAGTGCCATAGAATGTGGAGAGCTGGCACTATTCTTGATTAGACTTAGAGAAGCTGAGGGTAACCTGGAATCATAGTTTAAAATTTAGTGTTCTAAAATAAATGTAGCTGTAGGTGTTCTGGGGTCAAGGAAACATAGAGTCCTCTGTAGAAAGAGAGCTCCTGCAGTGCGTAAAAATACCCAGACTGGGGAGAGCCAGACGACTTTCCTTCTGAGAAAGTCATGGAGCACTTGCCACGTAGCAAGTCCTTTGCTAACTGTAGGACTATGGTGATGATAGAGTCCCACCCTGCCTGAGGGATTTCTGCCATAGTCCAGGGATAACTGAACCCGCGATGGCTAATACCGCATGCTGGACCAGGGGCACTGAACCCGTGTGAATGTGTGGGGTGCAGGGCCAAAGGAAGATGGGGCCCTGAAACCTACGCTGGGCAGAAGCATCTGCAGGAGGAAGGTGGCAGCTGCCAGCAGGAATGGCAGTCTCTAAAAGATCTTCAAGAATGAGGGCACTGCCATTTAGCAAGTGGTTAAATTTGAGAGTAGAAATGGGGTTTTAATATATCAACCAAAGGAGTTGATAGTGGGGCCAAAAAAAAATCCTCATAGAATATAAATAACATTTCTGCATGTTATTTAGTAAAAAACCAGAATCTTTTATAATTGTGTAGTAAGCCACTTGGAACTTTGAATACTATTATTATCATAACTCTAATAATAACATGATTATGATTATGGCTACCAGTTATTGATTCCCAGGTACTACGTCAGGTGTTTTATTTATATTACCTAATTTTTATCCTCACCTGCAGAGGGAGGTACAGGTGGGGAGTTAGCCTTAGGTGAATAAATGAGCTTGTTCAGGGTCACATGGAGTCATCTCTGCCTGGTTCTGAAGCCCACGCTGCTTCTATTGTAAACTGAACTGGCTGCCTCATTAGGTGGGGAAATGGGCAAGTGAGGGCTTCAGAGTAGAGATTTACTTAGAATTGTTGTTAGGAGGTGGCTCAGGAAAGAAGAAATTAGTATGAAAGGGTGGAGAGGATAAAGGGTAGGTGACCTCAGCTTTTCTTGCAAATGCTTAAGACTGCCTCTATTTTTATTTCATTCATCTTTACAACTTTTGAGGGGCTTGGCAATTTTTAAATCCAAAGAGACAGTCTAAGTGTTTGGAATTTTTACCTTCAGTCACAAAACGCTTTATTGTAATAGCAATGATACACCATTACCAGAACGCAGTTCAGAATTTCCGTTCTGTTAACTGAGCCCTCTGGACTCAGTTTCTGTAAATAAACCACGAGGTTAGGAGTCAAGGAGCAAGGTGGGCTTCTTAGAGGAGGCTTCTTTTGCCGTGGGTTTGAAGAGGGCTATTTACGTTTGAAGGAGTATTAGAGCTCCAGGGCTATGAGCACTCCAATCTCCACTAACTGTTCTCCCCGACTCTTCTCTCCTTGCTCCTGCAGATACTTTTTGTGCCTTCAGCTCCGGCAGGACATCGCCTCTGGCCGCCTGCCCTGCTCTTTTGTCACTCATGCCCTCCTGGGATCTTACACACTGCAGGCTGAACTTGGGGACTACGACCCAAAAGAGCATGGCAGTAATGACCTCAGTGACTTCCAGTTTGCCCCGAACCAGACCAAGGAGCTGGAAGAGAAGGTGGCGGAGCTGCACAAAACCCACAGGTCCGTTGACTTGCTTCCTGGAGAGAAAGTCGCCGTGGCGGGTATAAATAGCTCCGCTTGTAACACTTGCTAGACGTTTGAGCATAGTTTATGGGATTATCCAGATTTTCTTTTTGGAACTTCACCTTGCACTAATCAAGACAGCCTGCCGCCCTTGACATATCCTTCCATTGTCTTTACAGCTACGAGGAACTATGCTCATGATGCTAAATGTGTTCATTTATCGAAAAAATTGACTTTTCCCTATGACATTGCCTCCTTCCTCCTCCCAGTCCTATCCCTTAACACATACACTTGAAACAAACAGACCCACATACTTGTTTGGCATTTACTATATAGTTTTTCTGCCTTTTAATTGTTTTCATGACCATATTTGTTAAGAAAGCCAGGGAGATAGTGAGTGAGGCATCAGGGTCTGAATCGGAAACGTGAGTGGCGGTGGACGTGGGAGTAGCAACTGAAAGTCACAGGTGCTTCCCCTGCTCACAAAAGATAACCTTTTGGTTTAGCTAAGCATTACTTAATTACTTAAATACCATATTGAGAACTTGTATATCTGTGTGAAAATAAGACTTTTTTTAGCACAAGTTGTAAAAGCTCCAGTTACAAATGATAATTTATCCCATATTGCAAAATTGAAATTTTATAAAATTTTGACTAAAATGATTTGGAAAGAACTTTCAGAGATTAGAAAATTTTTAACAGACCATGTTCATTGACTTTGCTTTAAAAAAATAATAAATGCAGTGTTTGACTCTAAATTAACTTTATTCCAATTCTACTCAATAGACATGTCTGTGTAACTTGAATTTGAAATCTCAGGTTCTGAAATGCCATGAGGAAGGAATAGGAAGACTAACAGGACATGGTCCCGCCCTCGAGGAGCTTAAAAGTTGTTTAGTTGGGGATATAGGCAGGAATGGAAGTAACTTTAGTGTCGACAGAGTGTGATAGGTCTTACTACCCCACGTGTAAAATCAAACACACACACTTCTGATCTTTATTATGATCGGCCCTGGTGGTATAAAACTCTGGAGTAAGAATTTGTTTCAGAAAGATGACATCACTTTTTTATTTTCAGTTAATTTATGTTATACCCATTATTGCTGGGGCTTTTTTCTCCAGTGGAAAAAAATGGAAAGCAACTTTCTAAGTTAAAAAGGGAAAAGGGTGGAGATGCCCCTCCTTGCACTGAACAGGTTTATGTTAGAGCATCCTAAGAGGAAAATGTTAGAGACCGAGAGCGGAGCCTTCTTACCTGTCTGCTGCTAGTCTGCAACTTCAGCCGAGTTACTCCCTCCACCCCAAACTCTCAAAGCTTATACACCCCTTTCCCTGTTTGGGCTACATTTGCTTTCCATCCGCCAATGAGATAATACTGTTTCTTTTGATTTTTAGGGGCTTATCTCCTGCACAAGCTGATTCTCAGTTCTTAGAAAATGCAAAGAGGCTTTCCATGTACGGTGTTGACCTCCATCACGCCAAGGTACTGTAAACACAATGGGGCAGTGGCGTCTTCCCAGTCTGTTGACTGAAGATTTGAGAGGGTGCCAGGGTCGGAATAGCCTCGTTCACTTTTGGGAACAGGCTACTCACCCTCAGCCGAAGGTCTCTCTGATGTTTCTTTGGTGACTGATTGTTGTGGGAGGGACCATTTGTTCTCCCCCTACTTCTTTCTTCTCTTCCCAGTCTTTTAAATTAATACCCTTTCATCTGTACTTACTGTCAGACTCACCTCATCAGCCTTCTTTACCCCTCATCCTGGTTTATGCTGTGTCCCAGCTTCTGCTGTGCCCCCTGCTGCCTCGTCGCAGCTCCCTCTCCGGCCTCGGTCCCGGGAAAGGAGAGCAGATCTCGGCAGCCATGAAAGCGCAAAAGTGGCATGGATTTGACCACTTTCCAGAAGGGCTCCAGGCTGTGAAGGAGCCCGAGTTATTGGGCTTTCCCCCGGAGGTCTGTTTTGTACTTCTTGTGAGGTAAGGTAGGCTGATGCAGGTTCCCGGGGATGAAGCACCGCGTCTCATTTAAGAGATGGGCAAAGAATGGGACAGTGAACACAGGTGCTAGGGGAAGGTGGGGTTGGGTTGGGAGAATACCAGTAACAGACGTCACCTGCGTCGTTATCCTGGTTCAAGTGACCACCTGGTGGGGAGAGCCAAGGGAGGGAACAGGACGTGAGGCGAAAGGTGGGCTTGGTTTTGAAAAATAGGTCCGGAGTCGCCTCAGTGTGCTGAGGGAACCTGTGCTCGTCTGCTCTTAAAACACGCAGCCCATCCCTGGATGTGGCCCAGGAAGCCCAGGCTGTGGGGTCTGGGGAATCTCTAGGAAGGCCCCTGCTCAGAGAGCAGTTCCCTCCCCAGGCCTCAGACTAGTAATTCCTGCTTTTTTGTTAAGTGTTTCATATTTTCAAAGCACTCTTTTTCCCTCAGTGGCCTCCTTTATTCTTTAAGTATTCTTCCTTATTACAAAAATAATGTATGTTCATTATAGAAAACAGAGGCAAACAGAAGAAAATAAAAATCACTGAGATCTCTTCATGCAGAAATAAGCACTGTTAGTTTTTCGATACGTTTTGTTTTTTTTAAAAAACCTGAGTATTTCAACTCTCATGCATTTTAAAAATGGGAGCATGCTATAAGGATCATTTCATGAGGTTTTTATTATTTTTTTTTGTTTACTTGCTCGTATGAACACTATTCCATGTTAGTAAATAGTCTCTGGCAGCATCATTTTTAACTGCTAGCTGCTGTATGCCTTTGATTCTTAAACATACTTTCACATGCGCCTTCTTATGTAAGATTGGGAGGTTTTTATTTTACAAAACTGCATGAAACAGAGTGCAGAGAATGACTTGCTTAAAGCACCCTGTTGTTAAGCGGCCCCATCTGCCTGGTCAGTCTTCCCAGGAGGTGAATCAGGTCTTCCCAACATGGGGTTTCCCGCTCGTTTCTCTCTGTGATGGAGACAGGCCTCTCTGGTCCTCTACACCCTGTTACTCTGTCGTATGTCAATCTTACATCTCCTGCTTCATTGATCGTTAGTTAGAAACCAGTTCTTAGATGGCAATGCTGCAAGGTTTTGAGGTTCTTGTTTTTAAAGTTGTGTCTTAGAAAACTAAAAATTGCAGGCTCTATTATAAGTATAATTTCAGTTCTTGCTGTGTGGTGAGGAGCAGATCACTTTAAAACAATATAAACTCACATTCATTCCTTCTGTTTATCATCTGATAGATGATATTTGATAAGCAAGATATTTGTAGCTCGTTGAAAAGATTATCAATGTAAAAGAACTTCTCATGTAGTTTAAAGTTTTGTTTCTTTATACATTTTTCATTGTCTTGATCATATTTAAGAAATTTTTCCATTCATCTTTCATTATTAGAAGAGTTCTTAATGGCACACCCACATTAGGACAAGTTGAAGAGGGTTGAATAAAAGGACTCTTGAGAAAGATACAGGGAAACCGCAGAGTTGTGTGGCTCCTCTGAGCCAGTCACGGCTGCCCTCTGACCCTTGGGTCTGAGGGGTGAGGGCAAAGGGTGCTTGCCAGAATGTGGAAGGAGAGGTCTATATGGAGAGGGCTGTCTTGAGAGGAGCCACAGTTGTCAGAGGGACACATCCCTTCCCTCCCTCCTCTCTCTGATGTCCTTTGAGACCTTTCCACAGGCTGGATGCATTCGGAAGCCAGTGGGCATGGGATCCTGTTGAGGTCCATATGGGGCAGCTTCCTGAGGCTGCTGAGCAAGGCTGAGAAGGTGCTCCTTTTTATCAGTTAATGTTTCTGACTTTGTTGCTCAATAACGGAAGTCGAATATGGAGGACTAAGGCATGCTTTTTTCCCTTTCACTTCTTACCCTTTATCTGTAATTTCTATTCACACAAATACTGATAATTCTAAAACAATATGTGGAACAACCAAAAATCAACCGATTTACTAGGATCCAGATTGTGTTTATTCTTAAGTCTGATAAAATAGCTTCAGTGTCCTGACTAAAGATTGCTTAAGACTAGAGATGGCTTTGTTCACTGTTTCCAACGAGGTCACCTCCTTACTTCGTGGGAACATGCTGTCTCGGGCAGTCTTCCGGGCTGCTCCGCGTGGCCGTGGCTGGTGACGTTTTTGGCAAACACACCATTTGTTCTGGTGCCAGGTTCTTGGGCACCTGGGCCTGGTTCACCCGCACGTTCGCTCTGTTCCTAGAGAGAACTGTGGCTGCCAGGGCATGGGTGAATAAAGCACCTTCTAGATTAGATTTCTAAACCTTCTTAGATGGCCTAAGGTAGTTTTATTTGTATCTATGAATTACTCAAATGTCATAGCAGCAAAAGCAATTGACATCAGTTACCTAGTACTACACTTCTCTTTTCAAAGCTGTTATAAACTGTTAGGTTGTTCTCAGTAACGAGGCAGTTGGAATGTTGTGCTTTTATTTTTTATTTTTTATGCTTTTATTGAATCGAGACCTAGGCTGAATGTGGTGTTTGTTTCAGCATGTTTTGTGGGAATTTGTTCCTTGTTGTCAATGATTTCTGAAAATGTGAATCTGAGTATTTTCAATTTTCCGTCTCTTGAATGGGATCCACTCTTCTCTTGAAGGTAAACGTTGATTTGTGTGTTTTGAATATTGTGTGTGTTAGATCTTCATCTCTACTTGGAATGTGAGGAGACAGTTTTTTACTTTTGTCTGTAAATTTATTTGATTTTTAAAAACCTTTCAGGTTTGTGATTATTCTAGATTGTCATCTGTTCCAAATTAAAATGCTGGGGAAGGAAAACGTTCTGAGTAAGTTCAAGGATAGTCCGTGGTCCTTTGAGATCCGCCAGCCAGAGGAATGCTGTAAGGAGAACTGGATGTCAGCACCCTGAGTTAGGGAAAAACCATTGAAAGAATTCAAAGATTTCGACACTGTCAGCTGAGCAGAGAAATCTTCTGTGAGGGATTGGTGTTTTGTAGAATATAGGCATAATTTTAACAGCTCTTAGCTAGCACAATCCATCTGAGATGAATTTGCCTGAAGTAAGGTGGCTGCACGCAACTTAGGGTAGGCAGCTGACTGTCCCCTACCCTAGGACAGGGCTGTCCCCCTAGGGCTGGAATAGCCTCTCAGAAAACACACTTATCTCCAATGTCTTCAGGATATCTAAATTGAATTGTTTCACTTTTCCCCTTTAGCTCTTACAACTGAACTTGAGAGCATGTAAATTATGCCTTTTGAAAAATACAGTGTCCTATAGTCCTGTTGCCAACCCTCGTTGGCAACTCAAATCTGAGCCCTGGAGATGGGTAAATTTAAGATGCGTCCGTGCCCTGCTGTTGCTGTTAGCTTGTGGGCCGTCACTGAGATTCAAGACAAGTGTTCACCTGGCCTCCTCGCTGTGGTTGGGGGTTGTTAGCTCCCTGATCTGTGTGACGCCCACAGCTCTAACCGTGGTCAATGGCTTCCACTCGGCAGGACTCAGAAGGCGTGGACATCAAGCTGGGCGTGTGTGCCAACGGGCTCCTCATCTACAAAGACAGACTGAGAATCAATCGTTTTGCCTGGCCGAAAATCTTGAAAATTTCCTATAAGCGCAGTAACTTCTACATCAAAGTCAGGCCCGCAGAGGTAAGCAGTGTCCTTAGCCCGGGGCCTGTCCAGTCAGCCTTGGTCAGTGTTGGCCTTTGTGGCCATGAGCGAATTCTTTCCCACTGAATTTTAAAAAAATGAGCTATTCTTTATTCTTCCATGGTCAAAAAAGGACAGGGTTCTTGATGCTCAACCTGCGTGTATATCCCTGTTGCTAAAAAGCAAGCACTTGCCATGGCTTTCACAGAAAAGAAAAAGTAGGAAGTGCCTGCCATGTAGTGGGGGCTCCTTTCGCTGTTGTTGTTGAATCAGCTAGCAACAGGTCACTGTTGGTAGAGATCAAGAGGAAGGTGGTAAAATGAATTTTAGTGGATGTTGAAGGGTAATTGGTTTATCCTTCAGTTGGTAGTTGATACTTCCTTTTCATAGTAACTAGTACTGTAGTCCGTGAAAAATTTATTTTGTATAATTATATTAGATATTCTAATATTATTTACTTTTTTCAAGAAGAAGAATTACTTCTTACAGAACACCTGAATTCATGGTTTTCAGTGACTTCTAATGATCTCTTAAGTAAATGTGCTGATTTATTTTATGGATTTATTCTAGCTGGAACAGTTTGAGAGCACCATTGGGTTCAAACTGCCAAACCATCGGGCAGCAAAAAGGCTATGGAAGGTGTGTGTGGAACATCATACTTTCTACAGGTAATTTCAAGAAAACAGCTTAAAATTAATTAAAGCAGCTCTTGGCACCCTCTACATATGAAGAGGTGGTAGTGGATAGTGTGGCAGATGCAGTAAGCTGTATTGTGGTTCTCGGCTCTCCCCAGTGCCGGATCTGCTGTCTGCACTCCACCCCACGCCTGTTTCTGTTGCCCTGGCCCTGCCTTATGGTACTCAGATCTGATCCCGCTCTGCGATAGTCCGAGACTCCACTTTGTGGCTCCAGCCGCCTTCCCTCCCGCCCCCACCACACTCTGCCGCCCAGCTGCTGTTCTTCTTTCCACTGTCACTCATCTTAGGTTTCATGTAGCTGTCCCTATCAGCTCCCTCCTGCTTAACTTCTCTCCCAAACCTCCCAGAACCCTGTCGTCTGCCCTTTTGCTACTGTGTCAGGAGTGTTCTAACCCCCGCAAATCCCTGCCCTCTTTGCATATCAGCCTGCCAATCTGCTGGTCCTAGATTAGTCCTGTGTCCCGACCTCACTGCTTCTGTACCTGTGCTGTCAGGTGCTGCCTTAAATAGCTGTGCTGACACACGTGCTCGTTCTTTATAAGAGAAAGTCACACGACCTTGTGGGCTAGTGCTCTTACAGAGAGGTCATCATTTTCCACAGCAGCTGGATCCTCAGTGCTACCAGGCAGTCAGTCAGTCCTGTGACTTCCTCTGCCATCCCAGATATTCAGGGTTATTTCAGGGTCATCTAGAGCCCCTACGCACCGCTGCCTCTCTGCTCAGATGTCCCCCATCGTGCAGCACATGGATGGTACAAGCTGTGGGTCATGAGCTTTCTCGTTTCCTCTGCCTTTCTTCTTCCGCTTTGCCCATCACTGGGCAGCACTCCCTTCTCCCTCCCTTCCTCCCTTCCTTCCTCTCCTCTCCTCTCCAAGAAGATGTGGTCTGTTCCTCTGCCTCCATCCCTCATTTCATGCCTCACACAGGATCGTGCTTTGTAAATCATGTGCTCTTGGTGGGTGCCTTTGACCTCCTCTTCGGCTAGTAAACATGTCCCTGTCTTGTTCCTTTAAAAACCAAAGAAAAACAGATCTCCTTAGACCTTCTAGCCTACTTTAGCTGTGTCCTGTCTCCTTTCATACTTTTCTTCAAGAGCATGTTTCCTACAGGTATACTTGGCTGATCTTTGTTTTCTCCATTTCCTCAGCTTCCTATACAGCAGTCTATACAGCTGGGTATCTAGGCCCTTCATCTTTAAGGTTTTCGCTCTAGACTCTTAGGGTCTAATCCTGTCCCACCACAGAGCAGGTGTGTGACTGTGGGTAAGTTACTCGACCTTTCTGAGCCATACTTTGATCGTCCATCGTCCCTGTGATAGTAGTAGTATCTACCCCACAGGTTTATAGGGTTGTTATAGGATTGTTCTGAAAAGTAAATGAGATAACAAATTCAGAACCATTTCTGGTTTATGATAATGTTTATCATCATCATGACTATCATCATTGTCATCATTATCCTTAGTTTGGTGACCACAGTATGCTATTTTTAAAGTGAATTGTCAGCTGGTACGAATGACTCCTTCTTCAAGTTAAATTGACAAATATCTATTTTCAAGACTGCTCCAATATGCTCATTTTAGAGGAGAAATGTAACTCATAAAATATACTACTTGAATCTTTCTAACTTAATTACGCTAATCATATAAATCTTTGAAAAGTTTATAATTTATCTTGGGATTCATGATGAATTTCTCCTAAGACGATGTGAGCCTGCCTCCGTTACAGCCGGTGGGTAGCAGTGATGAGTTAAAGGACACGGCTCCAGGGCTGACTGACGGCAGGCTTCGCTGTGCTGTGGTGATAGTGAAAGCAGTAATGATTTTGGAAATGACAAATGCTGACATTCCTTGAGCGGATGTTGTTGTCAGCACAAAACGATTGCTTTCCGTTGCGCAATCTCATTTGTTCGTCATCCCCGTTGAGACACTGCGGCTCAGAGCTGGGTGTCCATGGAGGTGCCCAGCGGCCAGGCACCCGGGCAGAGGGGGCCTCGGCTCTCTGATCTTAAAGCGCACGCCCTTCACCTGTGAGCTGTCCTCCCTCTCGTGTTCTTCTAGCAAGAGGTTCTGAGATGTCTGTTAGCCCCGCAAAGCCACAGGTCCGTCCTGCCATCATTTTGCTAGCAGACCACGGATGCCAATTTAAAAGTAGAGAGTTGGCTCCTGCAGACTTTTGAAATAATGGTTAATGAAGGCATTTTTATATTTTTAAACCTTGCATAACTGTGCTTAGAAATGATATAAAATAATGCATTTATCACAGGGCAAATCAGAATTTGCAGAGTGCTTTGAATCAAATCTGGATTTCGTTCTGTCTTAGTTCATCACAAAAGATGCAAATAATTTCTTTAGAAAATTAAGACAGCTTTCACATTAAAGCTGTTAAAAAATAGATTTTTCTGTTTAGTGGTAGCCGCTCAGCTAGACTAATATTAGTAGAACAAGAAAATTATAATAAAGCTGCTCTCCTTCCCTGAGTGTTTAGTAGAGCCCGTCACCATTGTAAGTGCTGTACACGGATTAATTCTTTTAATTCTTATGTCAAATCTTAGGGGGCAGCTGCCGTTATCTTCACTTTACACGTGGAGAAACCGAGGCACAGAGAAGTGAAGAGGCATGCCGCTGGTCATATAGGTAGTAACGGGTGCAGATGGGGTGCAGAGCCAGGCGGTGGGGCCTCGGTGCCCACCAGCCTCCCGACTGCGCTCTGCTTCCCTGTGGTGTTTGCAGCCTGTGTGCTGCGATCCGTTTTCTCAGTGCTTTTTTTGTTGGTGGTGATGGTGTGTCAGAAAGATTAACCTGAGGTTCTCCTAACTTCACATGAAACTGCCGTGTAAACATGGCATTGTGGCTCCAGAGTAATCTCAAGTGAATGAGGGTCGTCAGCCCCTTCGTAGCGAGCTTTATCGTTAAAAGTGTGCTTGACTTTAGTGATCGACGTGTGGGTTTTCTTAAAATGTTCCCTTGTTTTCCATAGACCAACATTAATAACAGTTGATTTACAATGGCAGGATCTTTACAAAACTAAGATGTTAACATGCTTCTTAAGCAGTAAAATATGTAAAAGTTGAATTCATTTCTGCCAACATCGTTAAATCATCTTACTCAAGACCTTTAATATTCTGTCATGATGAGTCCTTTATTGTAGCTTTTAAAGTCCCAAAAGTGAAATGATAGATGTCTTGTAGTGGTTTTGATGTTATTTTTATGAAGATAGGGTCTGATGTAGAAAATGAAAGTAATATCAAATGGAAATAATTGTTAAGTGATCTTTAAGTGATAGTATTGAAATATTTTGTTGCTTGGCCTACATTTTCTTAGAAAATTTATTTACATTATCATTGACTTAAGTCACCAAAAAAATTCTTTTAGAGAAAGCTAATATCTGTGTTAACCCTTTTTTATTTTGATATTTGTTTCTACTCAATTGTAACATAATTACTTAAGGATTTCTTTGTCATCAGAAAATTAATCTGTAAGCTAATACTTTGTGTATGTGGTCACCAGTGCCAGTTGGCAAGGCAGCATTTTATCTCAGCTGGAAATAAATAAAACAAAAATCCTCTAGTTAATGACTTTCCTCCTCTTGCATTGTGATGTATATCTGCCTTTAAGATGTTTGCCTTGTGTTTCTGGGATTTGTATTTTTCATAAAATATCTTTTACAGAGTGTGTAAGTGGATAATGATTCTGATATGCACTAAATGGCAACCAACTGTCTATTATCTTAAAAATAAATTAGTCTAGAGAAATATGGTGATAGAGAATTCTTCTCACCTAGACTTAGATATTTGACTGGTTACATACCCCAGCTTATATAAATGAAAGCCCACTTTCATAGCTGGGAAAAAATTAAACCAACAACTTCATTTAAATGGACTAGTTGTGGCAGTGGGGTTGTTTTATGCTTTATTGAATTAAGACTGAAATATTTGGTAATAGTTCTTGCAATGTGTCAGAAGTTATAGAGCTCATAGCCCAACTTCCCTCCTCCAAAATCCTGGCTCAGGAGCTCAAAATCTGTTCTTAAATGCTATGACTCTGTAATACTAGGAAGGAGAACTCTGAAAAATGGGTTCGTAGACATGTCTTCCAGCTGCTTAAGTTCAGGTGGCCTCATATAGTAAAAGGTGACATTAAGATCCTCTCTAGTGATCCAGCCTGTATTTATTGAGTACCTGCCGTATCTCCTTTGAAAATCTGTTGGCAGGAAGTGGAAGTTTTCAAGAAACACGCCTGCTACCTTTCAACTCTAGATTAACACCAAGACAGCTGGAGTGTTTGAGCTCTTCTTTCATCAGTTTAATTGAAACGCGTTGTTTTTCTGGGTTAATGCTGTTGAGACTCCTGACTTGATGGAGGATTGCCTCTTTTATTATTACATGTAGCTTTACCTTGACTTGACTCCCTTTTCATTGCTTGTTAAGCAGAAGAGGATTTCTAAAAGATTGAGCAGAAGGTCTAGAAATACTTGAAATGGTGAAGAGCTCTTAAAGAATTCTTCATATTCTGGAGTTGTCAACGAAAGTCTTATTTAATAAACTCTGCAAGAGTGCTGAGATTATCTCTTTGTTAAGATGTTTTGCCAACTCTTGATCAGACAACGAAAACGAGACAATTTCAGTTGTATTCCAGACAAGATTGGCTCATTTACTAAAAACATGCTTTTGCATAGGTCTGGAAGGATTTAACATCGAGAAACTTTGACTTCATTCGTTATGTACCCAGGCTTTCAGCAGTAGAATTATGCTGGCATGAAAGGTTATTTAGTCATCCCTACAGCTCCATTCTTTGTGGGAAAGCATCATTTGATGGAACAGATTCCTGAGTTGGATGTTCTTTCCCAGGAGAAATAGACATAAATATTAAGAATTACTAATGGTAATGGATTGCTACTTGGCACTTTTAGCTAGGAGCAAGAATTCAGACATATGTGTTTATATAAATGATTGAAGCTAATACAAATAAATAACCTTTGATACACCCTGGGAACAGCTGCTCTTTTGCTCAGGTGGAGGAAAAGGTTATTTACAAATCCATGAATGTGGATTTATTCATCTTAGCACTATCATAAAGCTTTGTATATAGGAGGGTTTATAATAATGTGTTGTTTTTCATTAGAAAGTTTAGGCATCATCTTTTTTTGATTGAGTAATCATGCTTAATAAAATGAGATATAAATCCGTAAGGTCTAATTTTCTTCCCTTTTTTCTCCCCTATAGGCTTGTGTCTCCAGAGCAGCCACCAAAGGCCAAGTTCCTGACCTTGGGGTCCAAATTTCGCTACAGCGGCCGCACCCAAGCCCAGACGCGCCAGGCGAGCACCCTCATTGACCGGCCTGCGCCGCACTTTGAGCGCACCTCCAGTAAGCGGGCCTCCAGGAGTCTGGATGGAGGTAAACACAGTGAGGGTAGTTTGCGGTTGCGTTAATCTTTTTCTAATGCAGTGGGATCAGAAAATGTTCATCTAGTTAATAAGGCCCCCAGAAACACCCTAGAGGGATAGCCATTTTTTTCTGAATAAATAAAATGCTATTTCTTATACTCAGAAGAAAATAATTTTGTAGTGTTTTGAAGTTGTCATTCTGAACCTAAGTTTTCTTTGTACGGTCGGTGCACATAAATGTTGAGTTCTTGTTGAAGAGATGTTGGACAAACACGTTTTTACTGGTCTGACTTGTGAAGTAGTTTATGTGGCTTACTTTCCTGAACTTGTTAATTAATGGCAAGAATGTAATTCCAACGGTTTTTTGGTGTGGTAACTTACAAACCTTTATTCAAAAGAACTTAAAACATCCAAATTTTTATGAGTTTAAAAACTCTTACTGAAGTCAAACTTTTCTGCATATGAGAAACCATTCACAGCTTCAAAGAGTTAGTTTTAAATACAGTGTTTTAACAAAAGGAAAGGAAATATAATACGTTCATTTTTTCTTTACTCAAGGGGAGATATGTATAAATTTTTATGTTTTTTCTGTTGGAGTTCTAATTAGCTACATGTTTGTAGTTTTATATAAATTACTCATGGAAATAAACTGACGTTGCTTCCCTTCATATATGTATCTTATTACTCTGTCTAATTTTGGGTTAATAGAAGGTTTTTTTAAATAAGAGCTAAGGTTAATTTTATATTAGGTGCTTTATGAAAGACTTCATTTTTCTTTCTACCTAATAGAAACTAATTGCTGTGAGGACTTTCTACTAGGAGTAGTAGTTTTCCAACATTTTTTGGTTGATTAATCTCAAAACGTATACAAAAATAGTGATATTAAATTTGAAAACTTCTCTTTTACTACTGTTTGTCAGCAAAAACCTTTTTTGATTCCTTGTTATTACTGGTCTCTTTCTGAAATATGAACTTGAACAACTTATATTTTACATGGTTAGCTAAAACAGACCAGGTATGCTGATAGATAAAAATGCTCTCTCATTAGTGGAGGACTGACACCCTTTGGCCTTAGTCTGTTTTTCCTGGAATAAACTGGGAAAACAGACCCAGGCAGACACACAGAGATGCTTCTCAGGATTTCTTGGTGGGAGTATAGAGTTCTTAAGTCTTGATTCTGGAGACTCTTCCATATAGTTTTATGAGACCACACAAAAAATATGCATAGGGATCATAAGCTGGTTCAAGTAAATGTCCATATTCCCAAATGTAGTGATTTAAATTTAGTGAATTATGAATGTACGATAGCTGTCAGTGTATCTTTTAGCTCATCTTGTCAACTATCTTTTAGTTGTTGAACTGAGCACTTTTTTCAAGTAAATCTGAAAAATGTGCCCACTCATGTAAATATTTCACAAGCCTTGCCCCTTGCCACAGAGAATTTATACAAGTGCTGAATAAATGCAGTCAGTGTTGTTGATGCCCTGAGAGAAATCGTTCCTTTTTCTGGAACACTGTTTCAGCCTTTGTTGTAAACTATGAGGCTTTATAACTCTTATATGGCAAATGTTAGAGTTTGAAAAGAGCAGTAAACCACTGCGTTTCTTTGAGGTATGTAAGCTGTGCTCACGGAAACCCACCATCTTGCACGGGCGGGTTTAGCACAGGGGTTATAGTAGGTCTGTATCTGAAAACAATGATTTTTACAAGTACAAGCAACAAACACGGCACAGTAATCCATTATTTTTCCTTTTGTGTTTTGGACACTGTAATTAATCAGATGGGCAAGTCATCAAAAGGATTATTGTGTTATTGTGAGAAATAGAAGGCTTTTCATGCCAATACATGACCAGACAGCCGGTGAACTATTTGGTTAGGGTTTATATTCCTCTTATTCCCCCAGAGCAAAGCTAGGCTGTAACCTGGTACTGGGCTTCATTTTCTGCACCACTCCCCATCACTGCACCTTTGTTGTTGTTATCAACGTGCATTGTATTTTCTTTTTCCTGTTTCGTTTTTAAGGTAAGCTAGACTAATTTAATTATATAAATATTCCTCACTTTAAGGTTTGACAAGTTAAAATAAATCGGCTAGTGATTATCTAGAGTGTGAAAATTACTGATATCTAAAATCAAATATCAAATGAAAATCAATCTAGAACTGCTATTTTAGAACAGTGAGATTCTGAGATTGGAAAATCAAACCGAAAAAGAGGGAGATGGTCATTTAAGAGAACTAACGACCGAGATGCATTTGAGAACGGGGAAGAATGATTTCCTGAAAGTGAAAAGTAGAAAAAGCAGGGGCGCTTTTTAGACTGGGTCACCAGGGCAGGAAGGCCTGACTCAGGAAGAACCATCTGAGTTGAGACTTAAAAGACAGAGACGAGAAGGAGGCAGCTGTGAGTAGAGCAGGAGCCGCGGGTGTGAGGGTTATGAGAGAGGGAGAGCTCGATGCCAACCAGGAACAGGAGCAGGGCAGGTGGAGTCTGGGCTGAGTACGTGATGGGGAGCGGTGGCTGGGGCAGTCGCGCGGGGACTTGCAGGCCGTAGTGAAGAGTGTGCTTTTTTATTCTAGGTGCTGTAGGAAACCGTTGATGGGTTCGTATATGTGTGTGTGCACACTTGTGCAAGCACATAAGTGCACAGTGCTATCTTTTTTTTAAAAAAAATCACTTGGCGCAGTGTTGAGAATGACTAGAGAGGAAGCTCAGGCAGACTGGCTGGGTGAGAGTCGTGGTGCTCTTGCCTGGGCAGGTAAGAGGCCAGTTAGCCGTTTGGTATCATGGGCACAGTGCCTGCGGCCTACAGGCTTCTTGGGGTTCTGCAAGTGTTTAAGACCTGAAAAAATTACTTCAGAATGCAAAAAACAAAACAAACTCCCCAGCCCCACCCTCCCAAACTGGAATTAATAGTGTTTAAAAGTATGCAAAGTCAACATTTTGTCAGCTTCATCATATAGCTTTAAATTTGATATCCTTTAAAATTTCAATATCGTTACATGTGAAAATATTTCTAGATCAGATTTTCCCATTGTGCAATAATTTCTGAGTGTGTGTAATGGGTGCTTAGAAATTATAATCACAAGTTAAAGGAGTTACTCATAGCCGTATACTTTCCAAGGGAAAATTATTAAAATCTCAGAAGTTTAACAAAATAAAACCTGGAAAATAATTAGACTTAATGTAAGATGTGAGTTCATTTTATGATTTGGTGTGAGCGGTTGAGGGCTGTGAAAGTCTTAGAAGGGACCTGAGTGGTAAAATAGAGATGGAAGAACTGGCCACATTTGGAAACGTATCTGAGGACCCTCTGGGACTTGCTGGTGTTGAGGTGAAGGGAGACACTCCAGGGATTCTGGCTGGAGTAACTGGGTACAAGTTGAAGGTGATATTTGGCAAAAAAAGGCAGGACTGGGGAAGAAGGAAGTTTTGGACAGAGCATGTGAGGGGTGTGGATCAAGAGATTTCCTGTAATACATGGATTGGAGGTACTTGAGGCCTCCCAAGTTCAGTGTGGTAGGTGGCATCACACAGTCCCTGCCCTTCAAGAGCCTGCAGCCTTGTTTCCTGGGCATCCTTAGGGGCATGACCTTGTGCCCACCTCACCCTGTCAGTCAGGCACTTTTTGTACAAGTGAAGTGACCTCTGTGGTTATTTGTCATTTGGGGCAGAAGCTATGGATGGACAGAGACTTTGCCAGCTGCTCCTCCCTTTGCCTTGTTGAGATCTGAGGCCATCAGGTTGATCTGCCATGATGGAAATTTCAACTCAGTGTATGTTCCTGCCCATCTGTAGGAGAGAGGAAGGGAGCCCATGAGGGCCAGGTTTGCTGAGTGGGAGGGTGTCCATGTCTTAGATTTACTCTAGGTCAAATTGAGGCATTCAGGAGGGAGGTTAGAAAAATGAAAACCATTAAACATAAACAGAAGTTAATTCCTTAAAATCTGCCTTTACTGTCTTGTCACAATTGTGAATGGTATTCAAATTAAAGGATTCTTTATGGAGGAATTTTTGAAACTTATTGAAGCAAATCATTTTAATAAATAGATATTATTTGTTGTAATAAATAGATTCAGAAATAAGTTCAGGCAAGATCAAAGAGATCCCAGAGAGTTAAAACACTGCTCACATTGTAATTCTGACTTAGTGCCTAGCTCTCATGTTTCAGCTGGTCTTAGAGCTCCTCCTTCTGGCCAGTTCCATGGTCAGAGTATATTCTTCAAAAAGCTGTGATTTGAGGACCCGTGTAGTTCAGTGGGTTAAAATTCAGGATTTAAGAGTTTAGTAAAAGTTTAAAAATGATTTTATTTGATACATTGATATTTTGAGAGCTCAAACAATGTTCCTCTTGTCTACACATTGCCTCTTTATCTGTGTAAGGGAGAAAGTTCCATAAAGTTGGACCCTTTAAATGTCCTAAAGTAATCTACATGGTCATTCTTTACCAGCTCCGATTGGTGATGTGGACCAAAGTCTTATGAAGGATTTTCCGGGCCCCGCTCGGGATGTTTCAGCATATGGCCCAGGAGTCATCAGCCCTGCTGTGGCAGAAGATGGCGATGGCAGAAGGGACGTCAGAAGCCCAGCTAGAGCCCCACATGTGCAACTCATTGAAGGAAAGGTATGGTAAATTAGGAAAATATGTGATTTTAAGTGTGTACTTAGACCAGAGGATATCTATTGCATTTGCTGTTTCAGAACTCAAGTATCATTTAAAATTAATCAATGTATGTTCTCTGTTGATATAATTTCTCAATTTTCACGTATGTGTAGGCTCTTGCTGGTTTGGACAGGGTCTCTAACCTTTTTCTGATTGTTGTTCAAAGTAAAATATTTCAACATAAGTTATATTATTGCAAGTAATTTACTGTAAGCCTTTTGACTGTTCGTAATCATCCTATTTAGTTAAATCCCCAAATTATGAAAGCTATGATGATTTGAAATTTGTTTATTTCAAGCAAATTTTATAGTATAACCTGTCTCGATTATTTTAATCATGTTGACCCGAATTTTTGAAATGAACAAAGATGGTCTTTATGGAAAATTTTCATTGATAATCTGTAACTGATGAAGAAGACATTCTTAAGCAAAAGGTAATTGTTTTGTAAATATTGAGTGAGAAGATGGTGCGTTGCTTTTGGCCTTGTTTGGTGCGTATACCATAGTGAATGGAGAAGTAACGTATATTGTGTTTTCAAATTTGTCACTGTTATTTTATGTCGCCTTGTTACCTTGGGCAAGTAAAGTCACCTGGAGATTGATTTGAAGAGGCTTTGAGTTCTTCAGATCTCTTTTCTGTATCTGCACAAAGCAACTGTTTTATAGGTAACATTGGAAGTTAACGCAAAAAAAGAAATCATCCTGTAGATTTATAGTGTTTTCTAAATTTTAACTTGCAAAACTTTAAAGACGTGCAACATGAATTTATAAAGAACCTGCCAGATGCAGTAGCTGCCAGTGCCTCTGGAATTCGTGCTCTGATAGCCTCTGGCACTCAGCGTAGAGGAGGGCTGGGGACCATGTGGGCCCTTCTGCCACCAGAACAGATGCTTCAGGTGGCACGTGCCATCAAATCATCTGCATTCCTTTGTTAAAGCATTTGTGAATATCATACTAAAAAAATCATTTGGTTGAAAATTATTTAGCTAAAAATAACAGAAATCATGTTCAATAAGGTATCCTTCAACTGCTGATAAATTGTCAGAATCTCGCAAAGTTACGCTTACAAGGCAGGCAGGGGAGCGACTGCTTACATCAGAAACAGAAGAGCTCAGCATTTCAAAGTCGGTGTTCCTTTTTGCCTAGTTAACTTGATATATCTAGTTGTTAAAAAAAAAAATTCTTTAAAATTCCAGAGGAAATGCTGCTTATCTTTGGCAAACAGCTGAGTGTGGTGGCCCGGCCTCTCTGCTGATGCTTTGGATGTCTGTCAGCGAGCAGGTTTAAAAGTAATGATGTGATTTGAGTTTCATCAGATTTATTCACTAGTTGGAAAATAATAATTAAATCAGTCTATATCTATTATTGGATCATGTAATTCATTTTCTAACTGCGCTGTGTTAATACACTCCTTACTTCAGAGTAAAAGTTTTCACTAACTCCCGTTTCTTCTCTCCTCTTTCTCTCTTGCTTGTTTCTCCTTTGCATGTATCTGTCGTGTGATTTCACGTTCCCTCATGGGTTTGCTCCTGAGAACAGCCTGTTTCCATGTGCCCACCTTCACCCCTCATCCACTGTGCTTCATCTCTTTCCCCACACCGACTGCCAGTCCCTGAACTGGACTTGCTGTCAGACATTTCGGAGGAAGACCCCTTTGGGGAGGCTGAGCAGATCACACTAGACAGCTTAGAGCACCTCTCTGCAGGTGACACCTCAGAGCAGGGGGGCGCTGGAGTCACCATCCTCGATTTTACCCTGGACCCTATGGTAACCCCTTCTCAGCCTGCCTGTCCTCCCACCCGGGAGAAGCCTCTGCAAGAGGCTGACCACAAGGATGCCGAGTTTGGGTACTTCTCCTTCACTTTCTACAGATGCCTTCCATGTGGCTTCCCCTCACTCCTCGATGAGGACGGGTATCTTGCTTTCCCCAGCCTCCCCAGGGTCTGGGTCTCCTTCCTCCCCGCTGATGTCCAGCACTATGTTCCTGTCACCTCCCCGTCGTTCCTTCCTTCCCTCATCGTCATCTTTGGGCTGCTTCTCTCTGCTTCTCAGTCGGTGCCCTTTTCTCTCACCTTCTCCCTTCCTCTGGCTCTATCCCTCTGCTATCTGGAGGCGAAAGCCACTTCCTTCAATGTTTCTTATGACCGTGATTTGAATGACAAAACGGAGGAAGAGGAAGCAGCTGCTGGCACTCCTACCTAGGCTTCAGTTTGTGGGGTCAACAAAAGAACACTTCGTCTTATACCCTTCCAAATGTAGAGTGTAAACATGTGCATAAATTTCACCACTGATTACCCTCAACATAGTATGAGCTGCACATTTTTACACACACAACATTTTAGTGCATGAGAAATAAGTGTAAGTCTCTGTTGATAGCCATTGCCCAGGTCCATATATTCTAAGCTGAGAGCAAAGTTACAGGATTATTTCATAAATATCTAGACCATACTAGATCTAAGAAAGGAGACGGGGACCTGTGCTGCCCTTAACAATCCACATTGGGTCTGTCCATTGTGCAGACTATTAATGCTGTTCTTTTCGGATGGAAACTTTGTTTTGATATAGAGCTAGGATGCAGTGAACATAACTGTAATTGACGTATGTTAGTAGAACTCCTTAGTCTTATTTCTTTTGTTTGAAAGCCAAGCTCATTCTTCTTGCATTTATGGGATGCATCTGTAACCTTTACTCCTGACATTTGTAGGTGTAATCTCAGAAACTGCTTGTCTCCCTATTATTGTAGCATTTGGGGACCAGATGAATTTCAGATAGTTTTTTTTTTTTAAGTCTAAATCATGTAATTATATAGAAGAGTCACCATTAGGTATTTTGAAGGAAAATGCTATTCAGTTATGTCTTTGTTAAATGTGTATGAAAAATGAAACATGGCTTTTTGAAAATTTAGACTCTATAGGCCTAAGGTTGGTTCTCTTAGTGTTCTTTTATTTAGAATTAGGAGTCTGGTTTGAGGATTTTTACCCCTAGAGAGGGCTACCTCCGCACTCTAAGTCAGCGCCAGTGTGTGCAGTATGTTGCGTCTGGTGACTCAGTGTCTCACCTCCTGTGGGTACTGTCAATTCATAGAGTAAATCACAAAACTGAGAATCAACCTAAAGAAAAATGTGAAGATAGTGTTGTGATTAGGTATAGTGGGAGACACCAAAGTTCTTATAGAACTGAAGAATGCCAAAGATTGACATTTTAGAGAATTAAGTGTTGGCCAAGGAATTGGAAGATGGTTCTTAACACATTGTTGAGTGGCTGTGTCTCATTTTTGCCTTCTGATAAAAAGATACTTGGAGCTTCCTGCTTACCTCCCAAAATACTTGAATGGTTAAAAAACAAAGCATTTTGAACTCTCAGATTTGACACTGTCATTCCACTGAAGAAGGAAAACAACATGTCATCTGTGATCTGGCTGTAAAGGTTAAGCTGTTTTCCTTCTGTATCAGGTTCCATATTCTTTTTCTTGCCATTCCTTTCCTTGAGTCAGTAGTCATCAGTATTTATGTTAGTTTTAAATTTACAGATTCATTCTTTTGGGTCATTAGATACTAAGAATTGTCCAACTATAAAAAATTATTGTTTAAAGAATTTTATGAAAGAAAAGTAGCTATTTTTCAAAGAGCCTTTTAAAATACCCACTATTTTAACATGGATAAAGCAAAATAAACCAGTTTTCCCCCCAAGAAGAGAAATCTCGGTTAAAAAACTGAATAACGGGGTAAATATTTGTCCCTGATGTAAAGGGAAAGACAAGTTTTACATCATTATACTTTGCCCTTATCACTAGTTGATCAAATTAGAACAGATTGAATTATGCCATTTTTACACTCTCATATTTTCATTCCTGAGTAAAAAAATATTCCAAAGCAGCCCGTAATGTAGGGACTGAGAAAGAGTGAAGCTTCCATTCTCCATTCCACCTTTGCAAAGGAGCATTTCCATCATTTATACGACACTGTAGGTGAAGAAAGACAAACAGGCTCACTGTTCCTCATCCTCTGAGGGCCGCACAGAGAAGGCTGGTGATGCTGGCCCAGCATTCATGGTCCAGTCCAGCCTCTTTGCACCGATGCGGAGTTTCCACCAGTCCTCCTCCTCTCTCCAGCCGTTTGCTGTGTGACTTTTCAGGTGAAGATGGAAGAAGAGGAAACACAGCAGCAGGAGGTGGATATGTTTCTCCAAAGTTAAACATCTGGTGGCTGCCGCCTGCTGTCATTATTGTGTGTGGGGTGACGCACTTTCAGGGTTTATTTCTGAGTTTTGCTTGTTGTGGCTTTAGGTTCTTACGATTTTTGTTACTCCTTTATTTTAATGTCTTAGACTGTCCAGCTCAGTCATTTCTGGTCATTTCTGGTGCTTGCTGATTGATACACTGTTGTTTATTTGCCTTTTCCCCTGTGTGTGATTTAATTTCACAGAAAAATTCCTTGAGAGTAGAAGGGGATAATATTTATGTCAGACATAGCAATTTAATGTTGGAGGTTTGTATAATTTAAGAAAACAACTGTCCTAATGGCTGCCAGGCTGCTATGGACGGGAGGTCACGCACAGGCTGGCTGGCAGCTGTCTTCAAGCACAAGTGCATGATGTGCATGGGGGAGATTCCGCTCGGGCGTGCATGAGACCCGTCCAACTTTGTATGTTGAAAGTGGCTTGGATAGGAGACTATCTACTGGAAGTTCTCAAAGTGACAACTGGGAAAAAAAGTTGTGTCCAATCAAATGAATAAAGCTTTTATCCATTAATCTTGAAGTCGTTCTACAAGTAACTTACTCTCTCCTGATGGGTTATTTCCAGGACCTGGAATCTGAAGTAACATGATCCATCCTGAATGTACATTAACCAGAACAGATCTTTGTTGATCTGGCATTAAGTCAGTTTACTGTCGGACTGTGTCCACAGTGTTTTGTTTTGTTTTGTTTTGTTTTTTTTGAAAGTAGGGGAATGGCACTAAAATCCGTGCAGTTAGAATGTGGTCTACTTCAAGTATTCCGTTTGAGGGTAGCTAATTAATGGGATGTTTTTTTGATAAAAAAGAAAAAATAAATGAAAGAGAGAAAGTAGAAAAAATAAAAAGAAAGCCTAGTCACCCAATTAGGAATGTAAAATCTATTCCCCGTGTCACACGAGAACAGTTTTTTTTCCTTCTTATTTTAGGGTGGTGCGTGGCAGTGTATTCGGTGGAGAACTGCAATGCTCAGTAATCTGACTAATCTGTTTGGTTGCTTTTGGCAGCTTTGATAACTGTTGGAAATGTATTTTTGCATAACTTACTAAAATGCTCTAAAGTGTAATACATAACATTGCTTTGAAGAAATGCAAGAAATGTGCCTGATCTCAAGCCACAGTCGTTTTTCCATGCCATGCAAAGATTTTTAGATTTTCGTGAGTTTTTGCAAATGGCTATAGAAGCTCCTCGATGAGCTACTATGCTTGTGCATGAATATGGAATATCTAATTTTTTCAGATGCATGACCTGTCCCTCTGGGAGTGGGATGAAGGCTGTGATCCACACGTGGCCCCATGATTTTTGGAATGTAGGAAAACATTTAAAATTTAGTTAAAACCATTTCCTGAACAATAATTACCTTTTATTCCCAGAATTACTATTTATCAGGCCCAACTTAAAAATTCCCACAGATACCATTTGTCAAGGCCTACTCCAGTGAAAATGGACCTGGTAGTTTTCCTTGCGTCTTTGTCTGTGTAAGGACCATTTGGTGTGTGGGGTGGCTGGGCTCCACGTTTGTGCTCGGCGAGTACCGGAAACCAGCATGAGGTTCACTTATTTTACAGAGAGGCCAAACAGACGCAGCCTCTGGAAACTGGCATTTTTATTCCTTAAGGGTTAAAATCCACCGCTGAAATTTCTTGAAAAAAGTCCATCCTTGTTTTCCCTTTTTTTTCCCTTTGTTTTTTTTGGATGATCCTGGATTGGCTTTCCTGTCAGGCCAAAAGTGCTTCTGCATCCCCCTTTCTCTATTTTTGCTTGATGTACTGTGTTCACAGAAAGCAAGTAGCCCTAATCAGAAAGGTCAATTTGCAGGAACAAAGTCATAGGCTGCATTTCAAATCCAACTATTAGAAAGAAGGGTTATTAGCCGTTTTGAGTATTAGTTCCATGGCTTCCTTCTAATAATGTAAATAGTTATTCCTTAAAAAATTCTCAACAGAAGAAATTAGAACCCTTTAAAATGTGAATCATAAAAAAATTGCACATTGGCTTCATTTTCAAATTTTGATGAACTCGTATTCATAGGTGATAACATGGCTTTTGAGACTTGGCATTTTTCTTGCTTTACTGTGTTTTTTGAATCATACGTTTGCTGTGTCTTATTTTTTGGTTTTATTTTTTATTTTTGTCCTACTGGGTTTTTTCCTTTTGGATTTCCCCCTTTATTACGTTACATATTGCTAGGACCTGGATAAGGCCCAGGAGGACATTCTGAGACATCAGGCTAGCATTAGTGAACTCAAGCGCAATTTTATGGAATCCACACCTGAGCCGCGCCCCAATGAATGGGAAAAACGACGTATCACACCTCTGTCCCTACAGACACAAGGGGTATGTCACTAGCTCTTTGTTGGCTGTATGTCTGATCCAGCTCTTCAGTAAAACTCAGGTTGCTAATCTATTATGTCAATTCTCAGGAAGTTAGAACATGTTCCCATTTCAGGGTTTTTTTTAATGTCATTGCTAACAATTTTTAAATACTAAATATTTATTAACAAGGTAATATATGTTGATCTAGTTCTAAGGTAAATTGAGTTTCAAAATACTTTTGAAATAGTTTCAGAATAATTTTACTATTTTGCACAAGTAAGTTAGTAGCAATGAATTGTTATATAGGGTGACCTAGAAATTGACATTATATTGTATTTAATAAACTTTTTCATTTATTGACTTCTGAAATAAAGAATTTACATAGTAATTAATGATTAAAAGGATGCAGGAATATAGACCATATTTAGGATGGTTTAAGATAATTACAGTGCAGATAAGGAGTTAAACGTAGCTTTGAAGACTGATGAGCCCTGTTGAAAATGTGCAAAATGTTATATCGTGCAACTAAATACTGAAAGTTTGTAGTAATGAAATGTAGACTCATGCTTGAAAAACATTTTCAACCATAACATCTTTCCAAACTCATTCTTTTTCTTTCCATGGTTTATTTCTCCCCGCCACCAATATAAGTATTGCCTTTAGAGTGTATTCTCAGACTGTTTCTCCATTCAGTTCCATCTACGTCTGTTCTTTTCTGACGCTCCAAAGTCTCTCCTATTGTCACCCAAGAGCTTCTGTGGGCTCGTTGATCCTGCTTGAGGAGATAGTGAGCATACATTACTTCGTCCGCAGTTTTTGAAAGTGTATAAAGGTGTGATCGTACAGTTTCATCCTTTTCTCTTCCTTATGCCCCTCTCTTCTCCCTCAGTTTATCATCTAGTCTGGCTTGCATGCTACCCAGTTGTAGGCATTTGATTCCAAGAGTCTCATGCTATTTTTAGTCACCTTTTCTTAAAAAGCAAAGTGTTAGTTCTTTAATTTTCTTAAGTTTGTGACAGTGAAAAGGAAATAGCTTTTTTAGAAAAGATGAGCAAAAGATAGATGTTGAACTGAAGAAACAACTTTTGACAATGTTAAGATTTAAAACACCATGGCAAGCTGTATACCACTTAAATTCTTGTTTTCAGATTTTCTGAAGATACTAATGTCCATATTTCGGCACCTGACCCTAGAGTGTGGTGTTTTCTGTAGAAGCGGTGTCGATGACGTGTTCAGACATTCGCCTCCCTCTCTGTCCTGCTTCATCTGGTCTGTCCTGCTGACCCACGCCGTCGTTTCATGTTTGTGCTGCTATAGATGTGACGTGCTTGTCTTATTTGTTGATTATGTCTATTGTTTGAAACAATAGAGAAAAGGAGACCATCTTTTCAAGGATATTTTATCCACGAAGGAGAAGCATCAGATGGTGGCAACACGGACAGTCGAAGAAACAGCCCAGGAGGCAGACAAGGTGTTCACCTTGAATCCTTGGATCTATTCTTGCTTGTTCCCTTTTTCTTTTATTTCTGTCCACAGCCAGAAGATTTTTCCTTTTTTCTTATGTATCAACCTAAAATTTTTTTGAAATAATTGTTTGAGTGTTTAAAAAGTTGTCTCCATATATAGAAACGTAGGATCATTAGGTGAGAAGCACCATACTGCAGAAGTACTTTATTTGAAAATCCACAATTTGAAATGCGGACATATCAACTGATTTAGGTGATAAGTGGCCCCCAATTTTGATGTTTGTGGCTGACAGGAAACCATGATTTCATGTGAAAATGCACTGTTTATGCGACACTTAGACGAACCATGGTGGAGTTAAAATAACAAGTTACGTGTGATTTAGGTTACTGGTTTACTAATTTCATTTGGAAAGCTTTTGCATTTTCATTTTTGAGATTTTTAATGGGATAGAAGATTTTGGTGTGCCCTAGCAGCCCATCAGATCTCTCTCTGTGCTCCTGCGTGTATGAAGTCCCTGGCATTACTAAGGAAGCCAGCTCTCCATTGCTTTTACCTTCTCGTTCTTCTGTTTCTACTGATTTCGCTTAGCCAGCTGGTCAACCTTTACTTGCTGGAACTGGAGTGCCTAGAGTCTAGTGGAGGAGATGGCAGACATGTAAATTAGTAATTAGACAATTTGGGGTACTAAGAAGTAAGCGTTAGAAGATGAAATACAGTGTTGTGTTAGGAGGTGATTGGGAAGGCGGTGCTCTGCCACTGTGATCAGGAAGAGATGGCAGTTGAGTTGAGACCTTAATGCTGAGGAGGCAGACGTGTGAAGATCTTTCCATGTATGAGGAAGAGCAGATGCAGCAGCCCTAAGACAGGAACCAGTTTAAGGAACCGAAACACCAAATGACAAGGGCTTAGGAAAATCAGAGGTCAGACCCCAGATGCTGTCAGCATCTTAAAGACCACATTAACGGTTTGGAATTGTATTATAGAGAGATGGGAAGCCATTGGAGAGCTTTAAGCTGCTCAGAGACATAATCCCATGGGTCTGACAGAGATCCCATTGGTGTGTATGAATGAGAGCAGAGATCAGAAATAAGGAAAAAGTGTTTCCCTTCCACAAAGTCTGATTTTGTTAATCAGTAGAGAGTGTTATTCATTGGAACATACAGTGGGGTTGGGGAGGAGGCAATTAATGGAAGCCAAAGCCTTCCCCTAAAGGAATTTGAGGTCTAGTTGAGATGAAATATTTCCAAAACGCTGCAAAGGAGAAAGATAGTGTCATAAAGCCACACCAAGTGGCATGTTTATATACTTGAAAGGTTAGCCTGAAATCCAAAGCCAGTCAGACTCAGTGTGTAAAATCATGACTGTAATATCATATGCTTGGAATACTAGTAGTTTTGAAAATTTATCCTCTGAAATCAAGACAAATGGCATCATTTGATCAATTTAAATTGATGTACTTAGACTTTTTGTCAGTAGGAAACTTTGGAATTTCAGTGAGGATGTTTAAAATTATCATTTTTCTGGATGTCATGGCTTAGGACTGTATAATATAAACCGTATACAATAAAACCTGTTCATTCGTTCATGGTTATAGAAGTTACATTAAAATGTTAGGTGAAATTTAAACCTGGAATTGACCCACTGTTAAGGTCCAAAATGGTTTGTCTGCCCTTGAAGTTACTGTTTTTTTTTCTTGTTCTTTTCCTCTCCAGCCCCTGCAGGAAAATATTTACTTATTTGATGTACATATGGATTCTTGTCACTGCAATCAGCCATTCATCCATTCACCCAGCAAACCTTTATTGATCACTTATGTTGTATCTCTCCCCGACTCCCCCCATTAACATATCACTAAGTTGAAAGCATGTGAGCAGTTAAGTCTACTGGAGTGTTTTGACTTTTAACAGAATATCTTTCAAATTTCTGTCTTTTTTTTGCTACTGATTTTACAGGGTTTCTTTTTTTTTTTTGAGGAAAATTAGCCCTGAGCTAACTGCTGCCAATCCTCCTATTTTTGCTGAGGAAGTCTGGCCCTGAGCTAACATCCGTGCCCATCTTCCTCTACTTTATATGTGGGATGCCTATGACATCATGGCGTGCCAAGAAGTGCCATGTCCGCACCCCAGATCCGAACCGGCGAACCCCGGACCGCTGAGAAGCGGAACGTACAAACTTAACCTCTGTGCCACTGGGCCGGCCCCTACAGGGCTTCTTGATTATCTTTAAATTGTGATTTTTAATGAAATGTAAGATAAAAAACTATGCACGAGTATAATTTGACCACATTTTCTAAATTTCTATATGAGGGTTTTATAGATTAAAAATAAGTAAGAGTTTCTTTAAAAATAAATATGTTGAACTTTCAAAACAGCTTCAGTTTGAATATGAATGATTTTGAGAGTAGAGAAGAAATTGGAAATCAAATCATTTAGTCTTAAATAACTGTCTTCTACATCCTCTTACGGATTGTGATATTTATGACGTTCTTAAACTTGTATGAAATATCCTCTCATGAGTCTCATGGAGATTACATAGAATACAATTTTAAGGTACTTTTGAAAATATTTTATTGAATAATCCAATGCATGGCACTTACTTAAACTCCCCAGGGATCTCTTACCAGGAAGGACACCTCCTCCACCCACCCGACCGCTAGGGATGGTGTGTCTAATGATGGAGATGGTAATTAAGCTGATTAGTCCACAGCTTTTTTTCTCTCCTGAATATTGCAAGTGCTTACCTACCTCACCCACCTTGTCCCTGCTCCTTGCTCTCAGCGTACTGTCCCAGGGAAAATCCCAGAAATGTCATCTCTCACTCATTATTTGTCTGTTTAAGATCCCTGAGCAGTCGGGGTTCTTAGGAAGTATTCCTGCACACTTCTGACATGAGGGGAGCTTCCTGATGACTCTACTCTTGGCATCCAGGTCCCTGGGACAGTCCCCAGCTTTCCTGTCATGCCCTCGGGCAGGTTAGGGACCTCGTTTAAGGCCCAGAGATGTGAAGGTTAAATTTGCCTTAATAGTTTTTCAGGAACACCTGGTTTTCAGCTTGCTCACTGAGTTTTCCCCTCTGGGTTTGTCTTCCTATTTAGAATTGTTTTCTTTACCTGTTTCATATTGGGGGGAGAAAAGTACTATTCTTCCCTCCGTGGCATATTTAGCGCGTCTGAAGGTTGCTGTCAGGGTGCTGGTTGTACAGCTGAAGTGGTGTGAGAAGGGATGAGAACACTTAGGGGAGGCCCTACACGAAATGTGGACTGTTAAGTGGATGTCAGAGAGATGACCCACTTGGCAAAGCCCAGAGCTCCTGGGAAAGGAAGGGCGCTGGAGGCAGGAGGGTTGAGTGCCCTGAGCTCTAACACGGGCATTAGTATCACGAGTGTGGAGGCCACTGAAAGTGCAAGTGCAGGAGGCTCATGCGAGGAGCGCCCTCAGGAAGGCACGAGGGTGTTTGATAGGTAGGCGGTCGGTCGTGCTCAGTTTATGACAAAGCTTCAGTGATAATCAAGCAGTTTGAGTCCGTAGGTTAGAGCTGTCCAGGATTCTCCAGCAGGGCGGAAAGCTGGCATTCAGGCCAACCGTCACACACGCCTGCCACAGAATCCTCCAGAACCCTCGCCTTCCTTTCAAACTTATGCTGTTCTGAGATTCTTTCTCGTGTAACCCTTCCTTTTTCTCAATAGGTCACTGCTGTCTGTTCTGCCTTATTGCTAATTCTTTGCTCTTCCTTTTCTGACCTCTCCAGAGCCTAGAAGAGGAGATAACATCAATTTTGTTTAGTGAAAAGGGCTTTTCTGATGGCGTGAGAGCCACCTTCACCCCAGCCACCACTCGGACAGCAGAGGGCGCTGTTGTGAACTCTAGTGCCCCTTCTGAAAGGCTTGCTTCCTCGCCCTCCTCACAGTCGCCTGAGGTGCATTTTACTTTGTTTCCCCTGTTTTTAAAAGCCACATACGAGAGTGATTCTTATTTTTTGAATATTTAAGAACCCTTCTCTCCAGTGCTTTCATTGGTGAAATTAACTTACCGGGAGAAACATTCAAGAAATAATGACTGAACTTGGATATGAGAAAAACGTACAGATTGGATGTTTCTCCTGATTCTTTGGGTCCCCTTTCAAAAAACCTGCCCAAATTCAGAGAGTCATTTAAACCACTGAGGCCCAGATTCTGAACTGTTATGTGCAGGGAAGCCCTCAACCAACGAGAAGCTTGGTTGGAGTATGTTGAAGTATGAAGAAGTATGTTTTGCAAAAAAATTTTCAAAGTCTAGAGGTCTTTCAGGCATCTTCCGATAGCTTGTTATTTTAAAAGTTCTGCTTATGTGGAAAAATTTGAAGTGCCTGCCATACTCAATGAAATAATTATTTTCATTTTTTGGAATGACCCTGAGAGATTTCCTGAACTTGGGCAGAACCCATGTGGCCATTTGAGGTTAAGTAATAAGAATAATTCACTGACCTGCCATAATAACGAAATGCCTGCTTTAGAAGTGTTCTGATCACTGGATATCTTTATTTATAAACAAGTTTATAAAAGTTCCGTTAAATGTTACTTATTTATCAAAATAGATTCCGTTTTCCAGTTTAAGTATCTGAAACATCTGGGTTTTCAATAAAACCGGAAAGGTGGCTTTCTTGTTCTGTGAATAACATGATTTACATGGTATTAATTTTGAGCAATGAACACGTGCCCCTACTGTGCATCTGAGAATAAAAGCACAGATCAGAGAGGGTGTGAGTCTGCGTTGATAGGCACCACCAAGAAGCATGCCCTCTAGGACCCTTTGCTCATGACTGTCCTCGTCGCTGGGGCAGATAAACAAGCAATCCTGCTCTCTGTCATAGGAAACAGCTCCAACCCAGTTTGTGTCTTCTTTTGCCGGGGGGTTCAGAGGCCCCATGCCAGCTCCATTCAGCATGGAGGGCCCGTCTTGCATCAGGCGGCTACTCTGTCGAGCTGGGTTGTTTTGAAGTTAGATCACAGGCTCTGATGCCACCTGAATGTCAAAAAGTTGGCCAGGCTTCGCTTGTGTCATTGTAAAGTAGCCTTTTTAATAAGTTTAAGGAAAACTGTTAAGCTTTAAAACCAAACCGCTTTGTAAGGATGTTTCTACCCCGGCTGTCAATGCCAAAGCATAGTCATTTATATGAACGATGCATCCGGTTGACAGGTGTTTATTGGACGGTGAGGTACTCAACTGCTCAACTAGTCAGTTTACTCCCAGGACCAGCTGTCTGCAGGGGCCAGGGATCAGCATCTCACACGACAAACTGGGTTCCTCTCAGTTTCCAAAGATGCTACTGGAGGAGCGAATTCTAAGAGAAAACACCAGAGCCATCACTGATATCCCCGTCATGTGACAGTATCCCTTTTGCTAATCTCTAACACAGTTTGGGATGGTAATAACCATTTCTGAAATGACATTTTTTATGTTAATAGCTATCTGAGACCAACTATAATTTTGCCAATTAAAGCTGTTTTTTAAATGAGCCAGCAAAAAATGAAATTTCATTAATGCTCTGTTCATTTAGGAGTCGGTTTCAGGCCAAGTTTTGGAGTCTGATTACAATCAAACCTGTTCATTGAATAGGTTTTAAAAGTTTTGCAATTTAAACTTTAAAATACTAAGTGAGCTCTGGTATAATCCCATTTTTCCCCTACCTCTTCAACTCTAACAGTAGAGCTTATAGGTGGCACTCTAATAAAGTGTTTCATTTCTTTGGGAGGGCGCTGGCTGTTTTTGTGTTTTTGTTTCCTTTTGTAAGCTTTTTGCATTCGTCTGGACTGTCCTTCATGTGCCCTTGAGCAAAGGTTATTGTAGACGTTGATTCTTGCTGTTCTGTCTTTGCAGTGTCAGATGTTTGTTTCGGTGGGTGTTGAGGTAAAACTTTATTGATTTTGTGTCCTCGGTTGCTTTTTGTTTCGCAGAAACGTGCTCCCGAGTCCGAAGGGCCTTGCACTGGAGCCAGTGATGCTGTTAAGGTTCTCCCCTTTTCCATGTTCACACCATTGCCCGACATTTCTGATCCCCTCACGTTCTCCCCGCTTCCCTTCCAGTCAGCCATCATAATCATCTTTGTTTTTCTCCATGACACGAACCTACCATCAGTTCATTCTGCTTTCCGTCGTTTTTATTTATTCATATATTTTTATTTTCCCTCATCCATCTTTTTCTGTGCAGAGTTCACATGAGACTCTGAATGTAGTGGAGGAGAAGCAGCAGGCAGAGGTTGGGAAAGACAAAGACGAAAGAGTAATCCCAGAAGAAGTGAACGGTAAAGAGAGCTCACCTGGGAGTGGTCCTGGGGAGAGGCGTAAGGTGGAGCCTCTGACGCAGAAAGACTCCACCTCCCTGTCTTCTGAGAGCAGCAGCAGCAGTGAGAGCGAGGAGGAGGATGTGGGAGAGTACCGGCCCCACCACCGTGTGACCGAGGGCACCATCAGGGAGGAGCAGGAGGAGGATGAAGAAGAGGTGGAGGAAGAACCCGGCCGAGCCGCCAAGGTAGTAGAGAGGGAGGCCCCGGTGCCGGCGGCCAGTGCAGGCCCGGCGGGGGCCGGTCTAAGCTCGGTAGAAACAGTGACCCAGGAGCATGTAGTTGCCCCCAAGATCCCTGCAGAGAAGAGCCTAAACGAAGGTGCCATTGAGCAAGCCGTGAGCGAAGAAGCAGAGGACCAGCGTCATGCAGTTAACGGAGAGGTGTCTCATGTTGACATTGATGTTTTGCCACAAATTATTTGTTGTTCCGAGGTAAATGAGAGTCCCAAGCGGGAGCTGCACGCTAGAGCTCTTTCTCGGGTGGAGAACACCTGCCTTTCTCCTTCTGTCCTCCCGACTCTCCTCCAGCTTTTTTGCAAGATGCTGATTTTTCTCTCTCATGGGAGGAAGGGGGAACACTGCTGTGTAGACGTTCTGCCGGCTCGGTTTATGGATCTGGATCCGGTTTATGCAGTTGGGTCACCTGATAGAGTAAACTTTCCTGCCACAACCGCATCGGGTTTTTCCTTCTCGTTTCACATTCAAATTTTTCTTTGCATGTTTCAGATGTTTTCAACTGTTTGTCTTTAGTTGCGCTGCTTCCTCGTACTAAATGCCTTTTTCGTTGGTTTAATTAGAAAATTGCATATGTTTTATTGAAAATGATCAGCGTGAGTGTGTGCTGCTGTTGTCGTGACTGGGTTTGACTTTTTGGCTCATTCTCTGTTCAATTTAAGATTTTTAGAAATGGTAGCAGGCTGTGAATCCAGCATTGGGCAGTGATAAAAACAGTGTTTCTAGACTACCACTGTGATTTTGGTTCTCAGACCTCAGGGATGCTATGGTTTGTTAAGACTTTTCTCTCCTAGGCAGCCGGAGGCTAGACTGTTGAATAGGAGGACCCCTTCTCTTCTCGTTCTGTCCTGTTGTCAATTCTGGATTATTTGCAAGTTGATTTTATGTTTTTGGGTTATCTGTGTTAGATATGAGTCTTTCCCTTTTTCTCTTCAGGAAGGGACTTTCCGTGCTCCTCTTAGATTAAGTTTTGGCCACCGGGTGCAGTGTCTCTGAATTGGGAGTTAAAGTTATGCTGAGGGAGGGTTTATTTCCATGAGAATCTTTCTTGATTCTAAAATTAAGTGCCCACATTGTAGGGATTGTCCATATTTACTCTTTTTGATGGGGTAGAAAATCTTGAAATGACTTTGTCTTGAAATAATTAAACGGAGGTTTATTGTTACTTTTAAACTTTGTTTCACTTCAGAGAAGACATTTTGAGAGTCTTTGAACACTTTGAACTATTATTTTCTGCGTTTAATATATGATTGTTTCTCTTTAAATAATTACACTTGGGAATTTTCCTTCAAAGAAAGTACTGTAGTATTTTGGTAGTGTTACAGGCTGGTGTTGTGTTAAACACACATGCCCAGCAGACTACAATGTTAACAGGCTGTGAATCATTTCTTTAATGTTTTAAATTGTTCAAAGCAATCTAATGATGATGGAGTCATTCTAGATGTATCATTTTAACTTCTGTAATACAGAAGAAACACTGCAAGTTTTAGACAAGGATAATTGAGAACAATCATACTTGAAGATGTTCTTTCTGAAAATGGAATCTCCTTGTCAAGAGGGCAGAAAAGGCTTCAAGGAGAAAAGAGCACATCTTAGCTGAACCAGCTGGTGTGCCACTAAAAGGCAGTGTGCCTTCACACAGCCCTGGAGTCTGTAAACTGCAGTAACGTCCATAGTTCATTCTGTTTTGTTTTCAGTTATATCATTACTTGCCCAAAGCTAAAGTTTGTATATCACGGTACACCAGGCTTGCCATGTAAGTAATTTGGGACTGTCGTAATTTGAAGTGTACCATAATTTAGAGAGCCATTATGTTAGCTTGTTCTTCATATACACACACACACACACACATATATGATGTTTGAAGGAAAGTGTTTCTCTTTTATGTCTTTTATTTTAGATTATTTACTTTTACTCTTTTCTTTTGTGCATGTGTGTGTGTTTGAATATATTTCTTATGATGAGTTTTGAAGGCTCCATTAAGCACCGGTACGTCATTACCTCTAGAATTTATTTTTCCCTTCCTTTCCACCTCAGCCACCAGTGGTAAAAACAGAGATGGTAACAATTTCTGACGCCTCCCAAAGGACAGAAATCTCCACCAAGGAAGTCCCTATTGTCCAAACTGAGACCAAAACCATCACATATGAGTCTCCGCAGGTACAGAAGCTCTGGACTCGGACTGTTTGAGTCCTTGCTTTACTTAGTCTGTTTCTGTTTTCGTTCCGTCTTCTCCTAGTTGTTGGCGTGTTTCTGACTTTGACTAGCTTCCTGTATCTCCACCTTATAACTGTGCTTCAACAACATAACTTGCCGTGTTGCTTCTTAGATTGAGACAGAGAGTGCAGTCACGTTAGTGACCCAGTAATTGTAGGGGGGAGACATACCCAGGATTATTTAGGACACACAGCACCAATCTTTTCTTTTTTCCTTCTTTTCCTCAAAGTCCCCTAGTACATAGTTGTATATCCTAGGTGTATGTCCTTCTGGTTGTGCTATGTGGGACACCGCCACAGCATGGCTTGATGAGCGGCGCTAGGTCTGCACCCAGGATCTGAGCCAGTGAAACCCTGGGCCACCAAAGCAGAGCGCGCAAACTTAACCGCTTGGCCCCGGGACTGGCCCACCAATCTTGTTCAGATCATTATAAGCCATTTCTGACTTGGTGTATCCAGGAATGTTTATGTTCACTTGGGAAACAGATCATCTGACAAAGGTTATTAGATCTGTGGTAATTTGTGGATTGGTGGAATTTAGGCTTTTTTTTGCCCTCTTGGTCCACGAAGAGAGATCCAGTCAGCTTGCTCTTGCTTGCAACTACACACACGTGCGCACACACACATATCTGTGCTTCTCCTTCACGTGCAATTATTTTCTGGAGACGTATGTCGTCGTTCTTATGTAAATGTGAACCTGTGTGTCTAAATAATGACCAGATTTTAGGTGTTCAGACATTGATTCTTTAAAGATTTGAAATAAGCATAAAGATGTCTAACCTTAAGGGTAACAGAAAAATGGAAAATATTAATTTCAAAATGGAACTATTTAGAAATTTGTTCTATTTTCTCGACTGAGAAATTTAGTGTTCTGTAGTAGGATTGTACTGTGGTGGAGGATCGCAGATTTTTGCCCTCTTGAAATATTTTTTAAAAGACTTAATGTGTGTACGTGTGAAACATTCCTCAGAATGATTGTAGATATGCCGCCATGTGTGTGCATAGATCCCACATAAGCGTCAGCAGGTTTCCTGTGAACGGGGCTGGTGGAAGAGCGTGCACTTATGTGTCTGTACTGTGGTAAGTGCCCTCATAAAGAAATACAGGTGCGTGACCCAAAATCGAGGGAGATGTCCTCCTAACTGACAGTAAGAAAGGCTCTTGACCTTCCCATTATTTCTTTGTGTCAGTGTCAGGAAACAGGAGGCAAATTTGTTTCATTGTTTCCCCTGGTCCGATCTAGAACTTTCTACCTTTTCTAGTATCAAAGCAAATAAGTTAAAACCTATTTAGATATAAGCATTGGATTGATATATGGTATAAATGATATGTACAAATCTCATCTATATTGATATGAGAGAGAGCACGTGCATGCTTACGTATTGAAGTATATGTACCCACGTACACGCTCACGACACACAAACTATTACAGGGACAATGTCGTTTTTAAAAATCAACTAGAGATAAGCAAATAACCAAATCACCCAAATTTGATGTGCCCTAGTCATATACTGTTACTTAGTAATCTGAGAAAACGTTTATCTATTTTTACCCACCTGTGCTTAAAAAACAAACTCAGCACTCTGGTCACTGTGGAATCTTCTGCGTCTGGTTCTCTAGTTTCTTTTTCCAGCGTCTGCAAACTGCCGTCTGTCAGATTCGCTCAAGACTCCCTTGTAACTTTCAGTCACACCTTCTACTTCCATTCGTCCTTTTCTCTCTCTTCCCACGGGGTTTGCTTCTCTACGTGCATTTAGCCGTTGCTGTGCTCTGTTTAAATGCCAGCCGATCTCCTGGTCGGTAAATGACCACTATAGACATGTAAAGGACAGGCAAGAAAGCAGCTCTTGCCAATTGCAAAGATTTTAAAAGATGCATATTCGATGGGGAGGGGTCTTCTCTGACTACATAATGGAAGTTAAGCATTACTTTGTATTTTTCCCCCAACTATCCAAAGATTGATGGCGGGGCTGGTGGTGACTCAGGCACGTTACTGACTGCACAAACCATCACATCTGAGTCCGTGTCGACAACGACAACCACACACATCACCAAGGTAAAGCTATCCAAGGGAATCCTAGGGAGAGGATGGTACATTGCAAACAGGCCCTTTTCTGAATTGTTCCTTTGTTCCTATACACACTTCAAAGTAATATGCAGACAGTGCCAGTGGAATAAAAATGCCTGGACTTAAAGCATCCAAGAAATTGGGCTCCATTGACAAATGTATTTAAGCCAAATTGCAGTTTTGTAAAGTACAAGGGGGTAAAAATACATTATGAATAGCTATACCTAGGACAGCTACAGGAGCAGAGAGTGTCCTAAGGGTGGGAGCACGGGTTTGGGAAGTACAGACAAGCCCTCCTGGCTGAAGCAAGTGGATGAGGACCATCATTCAAACTTTCAACAGGTTGTTCAAATCATGTGAATTTTCCCTCATCGATTTAAGATACTGGTACATTGATTTGGGGCATTCTTCCACATCATTCCCTAGATGTTTAACACCAGATGACCAGTGGTTCTCAAAGTGTAGTCCCTGGCTGAGCAGCAGCAGCGTCACCTGGGGGCTTGTTAGGACCTGGGGATACCGAGGCCCCACTCCAGACGCGCTGAAACCCCGGCAGTGTTTCGGAAGCCCTCCAGGTGACTCTGATGCCAGCTGCCGTCCTCAAAGTTCCCCTTCTGGCCTTATTCCCAGTATTTCCTTTGCTTCTACCTCTCGCATTTAGTTAGTGCTTGAAGGTTTTAAACGTGTCCCTGTGCCCTCCTCACCCCATATTTCAGCAAAAATCTTTGTAAATTAAAAATGTCACACAAGTGCAAGGTGGTATTGGTGCTCATTTTAAAGCATAGCCAGTTATTAAGGCTAGTGGTAAGCCTTGTTTCTTGCAGCAAAGAGCCATCACTTGTGACTTAGTGTGTAATTTATCAGACTTGTAGGGCCTGGAAGTGTGCTTTCTCAGGACTGGATGGTATTTGCTCATGGTTTAAAATGTCCCAGCCTTATGATCTCTTCAGCCTCTATCAGGCTCCAGGCTCTATCACCTGCTCCAAGCCAGAAACCCTGCGCACTTCACCCAGGCCCTCCTGCCCCCGGTCCTCTCATGCAGCCTGTGTTCAGCCTTGCTGCACGTCTGCAGGCACAACCGCATGCAGAAGCCGCAGTCAAATCACACAATGGATGAACACCTTTATGTCACCCTCACGCATCTTACCCATATCTTAAACCAAATCCAAGTCCTCTTTTTTCATTATTGCACTAAACTGATAAACAGAATCATCAGTGGATTTGTATGACAAGAATCAAGCAGTCAAAATTATAATACCACGCAGTTTCCTAAACCTAAAACAGATATCTGAATTGTTGGAATTGCTTCTAACTCTACATAAACCAAACAATTATTTCTTCTTTCCAAAAATTGGCCCACTGGGAGTCAAGAAACTCAGAGAATTGTAACGGAGTGTCCCAGTGGAACTATTTGTAGTAAATGGCATGTGTCCCATCTTAATCTCGCCCTAATCTTGATAAATTAGTTTTAAGGTTGCCTTCAGTTGAGAAATACTTATGGATGCCACAGCCTGAACAATAGGAGTCTCTGTCAGCTTTAAAAGAAAGTTTCTAGAACATGGTCTTCCTCGCTCAGTACACATTGCCTTACAATGATCAGATGGTCTAGGTGTGCTCCATCTGTTCTCTCTCGTTACGTGTAAACATGCTCTAATCGTGCTGTTTTTCTCTTCCTCCTTTTTGTTTATGACCTTTAGACTGTAAAAGGTGGAATATCTGAAACAAGAATTGAGAAACGCATTGTGATCACGGGAGATGCAGATATTGATCATGACCAGGTAAAGACCTGAGGTTCTGCTTTGAAAGTGACCTGTTTATTTTCTAAATTTCGCAACTGTCGTCATGTCACATCCCTCTGTCAAACCCCTTTTCCCGTCACCACCTGGATGAATCGCCTTCTAGGCATGCCATAAAGGCACTCCACAGCCCACACTCAGCCTGTCCCTTCAGCCTTCCTAACAGTGAGTCAGCATAAAATGCGTTGCTGTTTATTTCCTGCTGGCTTTACTTGCACTTTAGGGTCCAAATAATCTAGAGGATTCTGGCAACCATTAGGTATTCATGTGGGCCTGGTATAAAGGCAAGTCATCAAATATTAAAAAATGAATGGCAGTTTAATAACACTGGCTTACAAAAAAATAAGAAAAGCCACAAAGTTTGACGTATGCTTGCTTTTAGGAACTTTTGAAGTATTTTTTAAATAGCGTTAGAAAAGTTAGGCTATTTACCACTAGATAGTTTTCCCTAATTATTACTATTATTGAGGGACGGCGGAAGGTACTCTAAGGTCTCTTACAAAGCGAAAATGTACATGCATTCAGAAAAAATGTTGAGAAGAATCATACTTCCATTTTAATGTTCAGTTGAGCAGAATGCATGGCTTTAAAAGCAGGGGAGGAAGGGGCCTGCTGGCGATTTCTAGAGCAGCGTTTAATTTTAGACTGCAGTCCCAAGCGGTGATGAGAAGTTTTTGTTTTGTTGTTTTCTGAGTAATTTTAATTTGGCTTTAAAGGAGACCAAGCTGTTTTCCTTTACAACAGCTTGAAGAAAGGGAAAAGGCACGTTCAGTGGACTATCTCAGCTGAGGAGTAGGAACATGTGATGGTTACCTAGCTTTGAACACAATATCCAACTCAGAAAAGAGAATTTTAGAGAACAAAACTTCTCATTTAAGAAGGGCCGACTATATGTGACCAAAGAGAAATAGATTTTCTTCTATGCCTAAAAAGAAAATTATTCTGGGGGCTGGCCCCATGGCCGAGTGCTTAAGTTCACTCACTGCTTCGGAGGCCCAGGGTGTCGTGGGTTCGGATCCTGGGCACGGACATGGCACCGCTCATCAGACCATGCTGAGGTGGCATCCCACATGCCACAACTAGAAGGACCTGCAACTGGGGTATACAACTATGTACTTGTGGGCTTTGGGGAGAAAAAGGAAAAATTAAAAAAAAAAAATCTTTAAAAAGAAAAAAAATTATTGTTTTTTTGAACCTCTGTAAATGTAATTTTACTTACATATTTCATAATGGATCTTTTTAATTGCTTGAGCGTTATTAGAGATTTTTGACTTAGTAGAGATTCCCAGAAGGTGAGTCCCTGTGCCTGCTCACCACTGGGACATGAGTTCCCTGTGTGCACACCCACCCTCCAGTTTCCCGTGGAGAAGATTTACTCTGCCTCTCTGCACTTGGGGCAGTTTTGAGTTCCTCTGACCTTAAGTTGGAGCAAACCCTATTCTTATGTCCTGATTTTTTGCCCCAGGACTCCTGCTCAGCAGTCATTTCTTGAATTCCCACAGTGTGCTGGGCAGGAGCCCACCTTCCTTTTGTGATGGAAGGTGACACTCAGGGCCTCCTCCCAGCCTTGGTTTCCTCTTCCCTCTGCCTCCAGGGAACCTTTGCCCTTTCAGGCTTTCCAATGTGCTTTGCCACTTGAGGGATTACTCTCAGGTTTTATTTTATGTGCATTCTTTTGTCTTTTGGCCTGTTTTATCTGAAGACTCAAATCTAGATAATACTGCTTCTGAATGGCCAATATTATAAACACAGGCTGAATCTCCCAGTCGGGGAACCACACCACCTGTCTCTCGGTTTCTGCACTGTGATGGCGGCTCACATAGAAGAACTCGAATGACTTACAACTAGAATATAGGACCTTGCACTGGGGCTGTGAGGAGAAAATAAGAAGAGGAAGATTGGCCACGGATGTTAGCTCAGGGCGAATCTTTCCCTGCAAAAAAAAAAACCCAAAAAACAAAACAAAACAAATCAACATGGGCTGAAATGCAGGTACTAAAATAACACGTGTTCCTAACTCTGACATTAGGAAACAATCATGATGACTCCCCAGCTTTAACTGTCACTGTGAGGACATACGCCTTGTCCGTAGGGTGTCTGTAGGATGTCGTGCTTCGGCCCATTTGAAAACCGAGGTCAGCTATCCAGTGGAGAGGATAGATGTTTAACTCTTGCATGTTTAGTTATAAGATGGCGTAAACTTTTTTGAGTAAATTTAATTGTGGCTTCTGCCATGCTTGTCACCAGAAGCTCATGATGAGTTAATTCACTTTCTCCCTAAAGCCTGCAATGAGATGTTGGGGCCTTTTAAAATTAAAGAGGGACATCATCACTTCCCTGCCAAAAACTGACATTGATCACGCGGTGACTTTACCATCATTAGCACCTCTTTCAGTTCCTTGCCTGCATTAAAGGAATTTTATTGGTGAAAGGAAACCCTTCAATGGAGCAAAATAGCAAAAAGGAATCTCTCTTGTGTTGGCAAAGTGGCGAGGCCTGCTCCTATGGGAACTCGCCTGGCAGGCCCGGCACCCTGTGAAATCACGGCAGTCTCGGCTCCGTACCAGGGGTGCAGGCGGCCCTGCGGCTGCTCCTCACACTGTGCTTCTTTCTAATGAAGTAACTTCTCAGTCTGGCAGTGGGACGTGGTAGTTTTCTCACCATCTTTATTGCTGCCATAATAAATTAATATTTTGCAGCCTTTAATTTCATGTACTGATAATATGGAATGAAAGGAACTAATGGCAAATGGATTTCGTATGTGTTTTAAGATGATTTTAGCAGTTTTTGATTTTTCCCTACTTTTCTGCTAATTAAAGCATGTTTCAGACGTGCTGCCTTCCCTTGGGCAAAATTTGTTTCCTCTTTCGTAATTGCCGTGGTTTAATGCAGGCAGGTCTTTGTAATGAGCAGACATTCAAAGTGTCTGATGGGTTGTCTGTAGCTACATTTGGCCCCCACCAGAGCTGTCCTTTCCCGCACTGGATTCCACAATGCAACGTGGAGGGAGTAGTTTTGACCGTTCCAGCTTCCCCTTTCCTTCTGAGCACCCGCGCCAGTTTAGGGCCATTCCGCTGCCCTTCGTTGCCCTTCCGTGTCCGCATTGTGGTCAATTCACGGAGATGGGGAGATGAGGTCCCCGCTCCTCCAGCCTTCCTGTCCCCCTCCCCCCCACACACACAGGCTGTGCTGCCCTCACATCAGAGGGTCCCCTGTCTGCCTTCTCTCTTGTCCTGACACAGGTGGGTCACCAGAGTTTGTTCCTCAGTGGAAATTTACACACCCTCAAGTGTCTTCCAAGCTTCTCTGTAAAAAATTTTTAGTGTAAAAACAATTTTTTTGTTGCTTTACCTTTTTTTTGTGGAATGAGGCTCAGGGTTTTGCTTCATATCCTTCCAGCTGATAGAAACTATAGTGCAAACAAGAAATGCAGTTGTCCCCTTAGGGCAGTGACAGAGCGGCAGGAAGAATCGTGCTGCTGCTTTCAAATGCTCAGTTTCCTTATGAGGCATGGTGCTGTCTATCCTAGAAGAGTTTCTTTTTTGTTTTAGAATTCTCTCCTAGATTTTGAGTGTGTTCTATGGAGTTTTATTTTACTTTCTCCCCAAGACCTGTTTAAACATCTTTCCCCTCTAAGAAATAGGATCTTCCCACTCTGCCACAACACTCGTACACAGTTTACTTTCTGATAAAACACAGAGAAGTTTTGTCTGCTTTCTCACAGCCTGGTCCTGGGAAGGGCCCACGAGCCAGAGGAGGGTCCCGTGTCCTACTCCTGCCCTGCAGCCCACTGGCAGGATGGCCTTGAGAAAGACCCATTACCCTTGGCGCCTTCCGTGTTTTCAGCTGTAGAACAGAGCTGTGTACTTTACAGGCTAAAGAGCGGTCTATCTCTGGTCTTCAGCTTTACTGATCGCGTGTCAACGTTGTTGCTGCCAACAGTTCTGATTGTTCTGTGCCCTAGAAGTTTATAGATATTTTTCCTGCAACATTTTAGTTCAACAAACATTTCACCTCAAACAGTTACTTAGAGCCTGAGGGCAAGGACCATCAAGGCCTGGACCTGTGCCCTGGGGTTTGAGCAAGTGTCCTTTGAGTGGTAGGTCGAGGACTGTGCCTGAGGCTTTACATCGTTCCTGCCATCTGGACGGTGAGCCTCACAGTGGTCTTCACAGCCTTACCTTAGTCTCAGCTTACGGGGGAGACTACCAGGGTCAGAGAAGATCTGTTTTCTCCAAGTGAGTGCAGGGCTGGGATTCAGAGCCAGCCTGTTTCTTCTGCATGTATCATTATTTGAAGATGGACTGGAGAAATGGGAAATTTGGGGAAATGAGAAGCGTTCTCTAAAATGAACAATGAGCCCGTTTCACATCTTCCTGCTTCCTCAAATAAAGCAATAAAACCGTCTTGGCTTGAGGCGGAACCCCCGTTGATCAGTGTATGTGTTTCGCATCCCGAGGAGGAGCCTGCCTGGTTCTCCACTCACGGTGCTCTCTCCTCACCCTGGCAGGCGCTGGCCCAGGCCATCAGGGAAGCCAGAGAGCAGCATCCCGACATGTCGGTCACACGAGTGGTGGTGCACAAAGAAACTGAGTTGGAAGAAGGGGAAGAATAAGTGAGGTAAGAGAGCCTGCGTCGTCCAGGGCCTTTCTCATGACTGATCTGCGTCCTGAACCTGCCCAGGAATGTGAAATGCTCTTCTGCGTCACCGTGTCTGCAGCTGCTGTAGTCCATCTGCTTTTTCAGATTTTATCCTCCCAAAATACGTATGCTCAGCTTACCTGCATATGGTTGTAAACTCTGTCAGCCGACGGGCATGCAGTATTAACAACTGCCATGTATTGAGGGCTGCTAAGAATTGACCTTTTTATGTTGCTTTACTGTTTACAAAGCACCTTAGTATAAGCTATCCTGTTAGTGTTTGCAGGGACTCTTTGAGGAAGGTGCTACTGCCTTTATGTAGATGAGAGAGATTTATTGTAGGGGACACAAAGGGGAGATGAGTTAAATCCTTTATATACGGACATTGAGAATTATATATCAAAGAGAGAACCATAAAGGAAAAGATTGCTTTGACTACATAAAAATTTAAAATTTTAATCAAATCAACAAAAACAAAAGTAAAGGGCTAAGGGCCAGCCCCGTGGTAGAGTGGTTAAGTTTGCACACTCTGCTGCGGCGGCCCAGGGTTTCATCAGTTCGAATCCTGGGCGCGGACATGGCACCGCTCATCAGGCCATGCTGAGGCAACATCCCACATGCCACAGCTAGAAGGACCCACAACTCAGAATATACAACTATGTACTGGGGGGCTTTGGGGAGAAAAAGGAAAGAAATTTAAAAAAATAAGGAAAAAAAAGTAAAAGCTAAATGACAAAGTTTAATATGCTTGGCAGAAAAAGGATTAGTATCCTGAATATGTTAAGAACTTGTATGTGGCATCAAAAAGTTTAAACACTTAAGTAGAAAAATGGGCTGAGGATTATGCAAGTGAACCACTTAGAAACAAAGTGGACAATAAACGAAAAATGCTCAGCCTCACTGTTGCTTAAATCAATACCAAGTAAAAATTCAGTGTACAAGTTTTCACTTAGAAAGCCGGCAAAGTTTATGTTTTTAGCCAGTGTTAGGGAGGTTGTGGGAGGAAAAATATACTCTCGTGCTGCTGAAAAACCAGTAAACTTGGAGAGCAATTTGGCAAAAACCCACATTAAACCTCTCATTTAAGCCACTGTTAAGGATTTATCTTAAATAATCAGAGGTGTATACAAAGATTTATCTACAGGTTTATTTATCGCATTTTTATATATACTGGCAAAAAATCTAACAATCTAAATGGCCAACAGTAGGGATTGCTTATACATTATACTGCTTCCATGTGATGGCTAAATCTAGGAGTTAAAAATTGTGCTAAGGAATTCTTAAATGTTCATAATTATGTGTGTGTTAGGGTTTTAAAAAGCAGACTTTATCACAGCGCATATACTAAGGTTGCTTTTTTGTTTTTTAAATGATCTGTACATTAATTGGATACACAGATACCCCACCAGCCTGGCTGGTCACAGAACCACGTCTTCTGCCCTGTGGTCAGGCTGGGAGCTTTCCCATCACAGAGTGGAAGGGCTCCTACCGCTGCACAGCCGCCCTCTGGCTTTGATTTGCCAATCTCCTAGACATGAAATCACCTGTAACTTCTTTCTTTCTCGTTGTTACTGATTCTTGATAGATTCAGATGATGATCCTTTGTCAATTTCATGTGTTGCAGATATCTTCAGGTTTGTGGTTAGGCTTTTGTTATTAAAATAGTTCAATATAGTTAATGTCTTGAATGTAGTTATTCATGTAGCTAATATAGTTGAATTATCATGCTTTCCTTTATGGCTCATGCTCTTTCCGTACCCTAAGGTGTTATTTTTGATCCATAAATTTTAATGTTGTCTTTCATACATCAATCCTTAATCCATCAGAAACTGTTTTCTGTGTGATGAGAAACAGTGATCCATTTGTTTCCGAAGAGGTAGCCAGCGTTCCAGCACTGTCTCTTGAAGAGCCCGTCCTTTCCACCTCTAGTCTGCAGGTCACGCATCAAGTTTCTCGTATGCACGTGTGCTTCACCCTCACTTCCGTTAGTCCACGTGTCTGTCCCTGCTCCAGTGTCATACTGTCTAAATTACTATAACTTCAAAATGAGTCTTGATAATCTGGTAGGATGTGTCTCCCCAGTTGTGTTCTTTTTTTGTTTTTCGGGAGTGTCTCGGTTATTCTGGGCTCTTTCTGTTCCATATAAATTTCTGAATCAGATTACTAGGTTCTAGGATACACCCTGTGGTGTCTTAATTGGAATTGCGTCCACTCTGTAGCTCAGAGTGGTGAGAATTACATCTTTATGATATTAAGCTTTCTTTTCCACAAACATAAAATATCTCCAGTTATATAGCTCTCTTTAATGTCTTCAATAAAATTGTATAATTTTTTTACCCAAAGAAGTCTTATAAATCTTTTCTAGCTGTTGCTAGTAGAGGGCACTACAGTTAACTTTTCAGTATTAGTCTTATATCTAGCAACCTTACTCTTTATATTTTAGATACTATTTTCCACAGAGTGCGCAAAGGGCCTACAAGCAGAAATAATTTACACTTTTAGCCCAGGCACAATATGTGTTTACCTGAATAAACGTGCTGTTAAATGTAAGGCTGAGAACATTCTTAGCCAGGAGTTAAGAGGATCAAGTGCTGTGTTTTAATCTTCTCAGATCTCAAGTTATGTGACATTGGGCAAGTCAGTGGGGCTGGTACAATCTGCCTTTCTTAATTCATAGGACTTATTTATAAGGACATCATAAAATGAGAAAATAGAATGTTAGACAAATGTACAAATACTGGGTATTTCTCCTCTAAATTCTATGCATCAGTTACTTAATCAGGAACATAAATAAAAATTAGTGACCACTGTGAGCATGACCCCCACCCTCACTTTCACTTATGGCATTTTAATAAATTAAAATGAATTAGTTATATCAGGTCTTCCTGGCACCTCATATTCGTTTTTGCAGCGGACACACACTCAGCCTTTGATGTTCTCCTGTCTCAGGGGACATCTTTTATAAGCAGCCTTGTTAAACAGTTTCGGGAAGTTAAAGTGTAGGTTCACATATAAGGTGAGCAAACTAGATAAATTTGGAAAGATTCACTCATCCATTCCAAAAATATTTAATGAGTACCCAGATGTGCTAGGGTCATGCTGCATTGAGGAGAGAACAAAGTAGGGGAGTTGAACTATTGTAAATTTAACCTGTTACTTGAGAAACAAAGTTTAAATTGAAATCTGAAGGACGAATAGGAGTTACCTCAGTGTCTCAAAGTCATTTTGGCATCTCCACTACCACTGGCTGCTGCTGGTTCTGGAAAAACTTCCTTTGCTGGGACTGTCAGGGCTGGGCGGGGTGTGTTTCTACTGCTTCAGTGCCCCCTGGCTGCCCTGCCGGTGTCCCACAGAGGCAGCAGGTGGGCCGAGGCAAAGAGCAGGACCAGGCCAGTGTCCAAATGTCAAAGGGAAGGATAAATAACTATTTGTCTCGTATCTGCCCCAGTTCCCTTTTTCAGACGTGAAAAGCTCTCCTCCTGACCTGACCTCTCCCTTTGGAGGAGCTCTGAGCTTTTGATCAAACGTTGAAAGTAGAGAGAGGTGCAGGCCAACAGAAGGATAGTCCAAGAGCCGCCTGTGGAGGCTGGAACACCCACTTGGCCTTCTCGGCTGGGAGCTAGCCCGTTGTGAGGCAGAGAGGAGCAAAGTGCAGACTCTACTAAAAAGAGAATACACACTTCAGAGGAGTACCTCACTAAATCTTTGTGACTTTTTTAATGTTCTCCTAAGAACTGCTCCCTCCTGCCAGTTTATCCCAAATGCATATTTACTAGCCATCAAGTGGACACAAAATGTAACGTACCTTGTCACCCCTGGGATGATGTTCTGGAGCAGCCCTGACCAGGACGGAGAGGACTCCAGGTTTGGTGGTGTGGTCCATGTGGCCTCAGAAAGAATGTGCCCCACGAGAGGGAGCTGGTGACTCTGCTTTAGTTGCCACCATGAGCTCTCTGAACCCAGACTTCCAGTGGGCCTCTCCAATTCCCGTAGTGATCATTGATATAGAGTAAAAAAGTGAGCGGAGCCCCCTTCCCCTCTGAAAGCAGTGAGCAGCCAAAGGATGAAGTGATGGAGGAGCGGCCTCGCATCCGTTCATTCATTTTATTCATTCCTTTGTTCATCATACACATAGTATAGAGTGCCCATTCAGTGTCATCTACTGTTTTACCCTGGAGACTTCAAATCAAATGAGGTCTGCACTCACAGACAGTACATCAGTGGTAGCAGGCCAGAGTTTCAAGTTTTATGATGTGTTTTGAACCAAGTTTGGTGGGAACACAAAGGAGATCTCTACATCAGGATGGGGCATCAGGATGGCTTCTCACCTGGGCTTCAGGATGAGTAGGAGTTAGCTCAGTGGGGAAGGGCTTGGAAGGGGCATTCCAGGCAGGGTCCAGGAGCTGTGGACTGACGCTCTAGGAACGGTGCAAAAGCAGGTGAGGCTGGTATGCAGGTACTTGTAAGAGAGTGATGGGAGAGGAGGGGAGCTGGGAGACAGAGGCCTGATCATAGTCTTGTAAGCCAAGCTAAAGAGGCCAGACTTGATCCTGAAAAGCTGTGGGGTACTCCTCATGTGTTTGAGAGATGGTAAGGAGGTAAAGGTTTGTGAGTTGGTGACTGTTTGCATGAGAGTGTAGAAGTTAGTGAGTGGGGAGGGTGGAAGAGCTGGGCAGGATCCCAGGTAACGCCCAGGTTTCTGGCTTGGGCAAATGAGTTGATGGTGGTAGCTATAATTTCAGTCATGGAATACATGAGTTTCATTTTTCACATGTCAAGTCCTGTCTGCTTAGATGTTTCAAAGCAAAGGTGTATTTTTGTTCTGTGATAGTGTAGGAGAGACCTACTGCCACAGGAATTATGGAGGAAGCTTGGGAGTGAACCTGTAAGGCCCTGCCTTAGACGCACACACAGCATGGTTAATTGGAAATTTACTGGATAGTCTAAGGGTTAAGAGGAAATCTAGCATAGCAGATTTG